CAAAGTTCTTGAAATGTTCTGTACTGACTGACCTTCATGTCTTAAAGTAATGATGGACTGTCGTTTCTCTTTGCTTATTTGAGCTATTCTTGCCATAATATGGACTTTGTCTTTTACCAAATAGGGCCATCTTCTGAATACCCCCACTACCTTGTCACAACACAACTGATTGGCTCAAACGCATTAAGAAGGAAAGAAATTCCACAAATTAACTTTTAAGAAGGCACACCTGTTAATTTAAATGCATTCCAGGTGACTACCTCATGAAGCTGGTTGAGAGAATGCCAAGAGTGTGCAAAGCTGTCATCAAGGCAAAGGGTGGCTATTTGAAGAACCTCAAATATAAAATATATTTTGATTTGTTTAACACTTTTTTTTTATTTCATAGTTTTGATGTCTTCACTATTATTCTACAATGTAAAAAATAGTCAAAATAAAGAAAAACTCTTGAATGAGTAGGTGTGTCCAAACTTTTGACTGGTAGTGTAGGTGTGAACTCCCCTCATGTGTTGTGCAATAGGTTTAAGATCATGTAGGTGTGAACTCCCCTCATGTGTTGTGCAATAGGTTTAAGATCATGTAGGTGTGAACTCCCCTCATGTGTTGCGCAATACGTTTAAGATCATGTAGGTGTGAACTCCCCTCATGTGTTGCGCAATACGTTTAAGATCAAGTATGGAGATAATGGTCTGAAGAAAACAAAGGAAATGGAAACCGAGAACATGGTGATTTTGAATGGGAGGCAGAAGTTCGATGCGGTTGAAGATGAATAGATATCGAAGACAAACTAGGCAGGTCTGAAATGTCTTGAAATGAATTGGATAAGGATATATAGAGGATATGGGACTGGACAATGAATGCTAGTGTAATATTTGAGGGAGGAAAATGGGGATGAAATGTCAAGATTTTATGTTAAAAACAAAGAGATGGTTGAAATCAAGAAGGGAGGTGCAGAAGACTGAGGGAGAAAATTTCTGAAGGTTGTAGGGATGGGGATATGGCATGGAATGGAACCGTGTATCCTTGAACTCTCACAGTTTGCCTGTACACCAGAGGAGGCTGGTGGGAGGAGCCATCCTTTTTATAGAGTTGGTCCAGACCATGTTTTCATTGCATAGACAGTGTCTATAAAAAGTCTACACCCCCCTTGGATTTCTTCAAATTTTGTGTTACAAAGTGGGATTAAAATTACCAAAAGTATGTGGACACGTGTTGTTGAACATCTCATTCATAAATCATGAGCATTAATATGGAGTTGGTCCCCCCTTTGCTTCTATAACAGCCTCCACTCTTCTGGGAAAGCTTTCCAGTAGATGTTGGAACATTGCTGTGGGGACTTGCTTCAATTCAGCCACAAGAGCATTAGTGAGGTCGGGCACTGATGTTGGGCTATTAGGTGTGGCTCGCAGTCGGCGTTCCAATTCATCCCAAAGGTGTTCGATGGGGTTGAGGTCAGGGCTCTGTGCAGGCCGTTCAAGTTCTTCCACACCGATCTCTACAAACCATTTCTGTATGGACCTTCCCAAACTGTTGCCACAAAGTTGGAAGCACAGAATCGTCTAGAATGTCATTGTATGCTGTAGCGTTAAGATTTCCTTCACTGGAACTAAGGGGCCCAGCCGAACTATGAAAAACAGACCCAGACAATTATTCCTACTCCACCAAACTTTACAATTGGCACTATGCATTGGGGCAGGTAGCGTTCTCCTGGCATCCGCCAAACCCAGATTCGTCAGTCGGACTGCCAGATGGTGAAGCGTGATTCATCACTCCAGAGAACTAGTTTCCAATGCTCCAGAGTCCAATGGCGGCGAGCTTTACACCACTCCAGCCGACGCTTGGCATTGCGCATGTTGATCTTAGGCTTGTGTGCGGCTGCTCGGCCGTGGAAACCCATTTCATGAAGCAGAGATTTAACAAACTGACTTGTTGGAAAGGTGGCATCCTATCATGGTGCCACGTTGAAAGTCACTGAGCTCTTCTGTAAGGCCATTCTATTGCCAATGTTTACCTATGGAGATTGCATGGCTGTGTGCTTGATTTTATACACCTGTCAGCAACGGGTGTGGCTGAAATAGCCGAATCCACTAATTTGAATTTGAAACTTTTGTATGTATGTATGTGTGTGTATATATATTGATTAGATAAGTATTCAACCCCCTGAGTCAATACATTAGAAACACCTTTGCCAGCGATTACAGCAGTCTTCTTGTGTAAGTCTCATAAGAGCTTTGCACACCTGTATTGTGCAATATTTGCCCATTTTTCTTTTCAAAATTCTTCAAGCTCTGTCAAGGTGTTGGCAATCATGGCTGAACAGCAATTTTCATGTCTTGCCATATACTGTACGTTCAAGCAGATTTAAGTCAAAACTGTAACTCAGCCACTCAGGAACATTCACTGTCTTCTTGTTAAGCAACTCCAGTGTAGATTTGGCTTTGTGTTGTAGGTTATTGTCCTGCTGAATGGAGAATTCCCCTCCCAGTGTTTGGTGTAAAGCAGACTGAAACAGGTTTTCCTCTAGGATTCTTCCTGTGCTTAGCTCCATCTGTTTCTTTTCATCCTGAACAACTCGGCAGTGTTTGCCGATGTCAAGCATACCCATACCATGATGCAGCCACCACCATGCTTGAAAATAAGGAGGCAGTTACTCAGTGATGTGTTGTTGGATTTGCCTCAAACATAAGGCTTTGCATTTAGGCCAAAAAGTGTGTTCCTCTGCCGTGTTTTATTTGCAGTATTACTTTAGTGCCTTGTTGCTTACATATGCCTGTTTTGGAACATTTTTATTCTGTATATTTGTATTCTTCTTTTCACTGTCATTTAGGTCATTATTGTGGAGTCACTACAGTGTTGTTGATCCTTCCTCAGTTTTCCCTAAGCAGTTTCCTTTCTGTCCTGCAGCTCAGTTCAGAAAGACGACTGCATCTTTGATGTATCTGGGTGGTTTAATACATAATCAACAGCATAATCATTAACTTGACCATGCTTAAAGATATATTCCATGTCTGATTTGTTATCTACCAATCACTGCCCTTTATGAGGCTTTCGAAAAGCTCCCTGGTCTTTGTAGTTGAATCCTGTGCTTGAAATTCACTGAGTGAGTCCATATAACTTATGTGATTTGTTAAGTCAAATTCTACTTTAATTTAGACTTGCCTAAACAAAGGGAGTGAATACTTATGCAACGGCTATATTTTAGCTAATATTATTTAATTTTCACTTTGACATTATGCAGTGTTTTGTTTAGATCAATGACAAGAAATTACAATTAAATCTATTTCAATGCCACTTTATGATGCAATAAAAAGTTCAAGGGGGTGTAGACTTTCTATAGGCACTGTAGGTGTGTTTTGAAAGGGTTGGATTTGAACTTTGAAGATCTATGCCCACTCTCCAGGACTGAACCTACAGTGCAGATGGGGGCACTGACCTCACGTCAACACTCATGTCAGTGTGCCTCGGTAATGATTGACTACCTGCACATGCAACACTACCAGAACGTGACTGTACTTTAGACTCGAACACACCCAGCATGCTCAGGCCCAAGTGCAGATCACGCAATAGCATGAGGTCTCCGACCTTCTCTCAGTGCGTAATTACTCTCCCGTAGTGCTTTCCTTCATTGTAAGTCGCTCTGGATAAGAGCGTCTGCTAAATGACGTAAATGTAAATGTAATATCCTGTAGCCTCTGACACATACACACACACACACACACATTCCTGTATCTGCCCTCTCTTTATTAATGCTCACCAGAGTGGAAAGAGGGACACTGTTCCTCCTGGCCTGGCCTGGCCCTCTGACTGTCCTGCCATGTAGCTCTGAGTGGGGATATCTTTCCCCTTGCGTGGAACTTCCCTCACAACACAGGCCTGCATGAAGAGGATCCCTTTTCCCTCCCTCTTTCATCGCTTGTCCTCTCCCATCTCTCTTTCTTTCTCGCTAGGTCTTCCCCCTCTCCAGACAATGGCTGCACAGTATAGTGAGGTGCAGTCTGACCCTGGGTTCTGTATAGTGAGGTGTATAGTGAGGTGCAGTCTGACCCTGGGTTCTGTATAGTGAGGTGTATAGTGTAGGTGTATAGTGAGGTGCAGTCTGACCCTGGGTTCTGTATAGTGAGGTGTATAGTGTAGGTGTATAGTGAGGTGCAGTCTGACCCTGGGTTCTGTATAGTGAGGTGTATAGTGTAGGTGTATAGTGAGGTGCAGTCTGACCCTGGGTTCTGTATAGTGAGGTGTATAGTGTAGGTGTATAGTGAGGTGCAGATCTGACCCCTGGGGTTCTGTATAGTGAGGGTGTAAGTTAGGGTATATGAGTGGCAGTCTGGACCCCTGGGTTTGTATCGTGAGGTGTATAGTGTAGGTGTTATAGTGAGGTGCAGTCTGACCCTGGGTTCTGTATAGTGAATGTGTATAGTGTAGGTTGTATAGTGAGGTGCGTCGAACCCCTGGGTTTGTATAGTGAGGGTGTATAGTGTGGTTGTATCGTGAGTGCAGTCTGAGTTATAGTAGGCTGTAATCTGGTTAGTCTGACCCTGGGTCTGTTATAGGAAATCTGGTTACAACTGAGGTTAGCAGTCCGACGCTGGTTTGTCTGCAGTTAAGTGCTGGATTATTAGCCCCCTGACCCGCCCCCATCCGGTCACCATATTAAGCACATCATGTATACACTGTTTTTTTGTTTGACGTTTTGTGTGCTACTGGTTCCTCGTTAGCTCTCTGGATCTGTAGGTTGCCTCCCACACCATGTCCTGTCAACTAACAGGACAAACGTCTAACACTGATTAAAACATTGTTCATTCAAATGTCTGCATTGTCTGCACTCACCTGGGCTTTCTCTGACCCCCGCGCAGAGAGCACTACGAAACCTACGTCATTTTCCTGTCAGACGTAGGCTGTATGATACTGAGAGTTACTGAGACTGGAGTAGCCACAAACATTTCATGTTACAAAGTTGACGTAGTGAGATTTTCATTCAGATGAGTCATTCTCCGCCAGTCTGTTGTGCTCTGAGACTGGGCTGGGAGGAGGAGGAGGAGGAGGAGGAGGTGAGGGGGTTTCCTTGCAGACGTAGGCTGTGATGTAGCTAGAGTAACTGAAGACTGGAGTGGAGCAGCAACAATGACGTTGCTCAGGTCGTGTGATTGTGAGTCACTCTGCATCATGGGGAGGCCGGTGGCTGGTCCTCCTCTGCCCTGACACACAGCAGAGAGACACTGTGTCTTTGTGGGTCTGTGGGTCTGCATGCCTGCCTGTCAGCTTACAGGGAGAGGGACCAGAGCAGGGCTATATGTCAGACTGCACTGAACATAAGTGTAGTGGCTCTGAGGTCAAGCCAGCAGCACTGTACTGTACTGCAGTGTATGTGATTGGAACACCCACATCTCAATGGATCCCTTGCCAAGCCGCTCTTAGTAGTGGTTGGTCCAAACGGTTTCTGACACTTGGCCATGCATAGAATTCTTTATAAATTTTTCAACTAAACCTTGACACTGTATATTTACTATAACTTTGTAACAAGCAAGCTGAAACTGCTGTTGAGATACAGTCCTCATCTGACCTCAGCCTGAGACTTAGCTATAAGGCTTTATTCTGTAGATAAGTAGTACACATTGTAACTAACAATGTGTTTCACATTGTTGTGGTGGTATGTGGGCTTGGACTGGTATGTAGCTGCTCTGGTTTGTTTTCCCTACTGTAGTGTTTCACCACAGGCAGGCAGAGACTGGCGTGGGCGGAGTGCTGGGTGCTGGGTGGTGGGCGCAGGGCGTCCTCAGGAGCCTTTCCCCAGCTGGTGGGCATTATGAACGGGTCCTAGTGCGCCATAATCACCATCTATTTTACCGTTATTGATTGAGCTACAGCTTAATGCCTTTATGGACAATTTGGGGGTTTTAATTCCATGGAGATTTCTTTCTTTGGTGGAAATGTGCTGTTAATCTACAAGAAGTTGACTCACAGAGGGCTGCATGCCTTAACGAGGCTGCTTATGAAAAAGTAGGAATGTTTGTGTTTTTTTATCCTCGTGTTTACCACATTACATTTACAGAGTCATTTGACAGGTTTCCTGTGGGCCATTCAAACAGGGTTCCCAGCTTTGCTCATAACTTCAGAGCTTTGATGGAGGAAATGAAAAGTGTTGCATTTGTTTGCTACTTCAATAACCTACTTCGAGGCTGCATGGTAGAATCCGCTGGCTATCACAGGATTGCCTGCCTGCCCATCTTCCTCAACCTCTTCCCTCTTCTCTCCTGTCTGCGACCCCCCCCCACCCCCCCGTCCTGTTTCCTAACACGTCACTCCTGGTGAATCAGGAGACTCCACCAAGGCCAGAGTTCAGTTTCCTGAGAGACTAATCTCTTGCACTTGACTCATGCACATTTCCTCCGGATGTCGTGAACTGTGATAGAGTTTTTTGGCTTCCTTCCTTCCCTTTCCACCAGTGTCACAGTGCTCAGTACAAAACAATCCGGTAGAGCGGAGTGCTCTTGGTCCAGCAGAGAGCTCTGTACAGGCTACAGAACATTCAGTACTGTGAGCATAGTGCCTTGGCTCAGGAAACGCTGTCTTCTCGATCAGTGTTGTTTGGTTTGACCAAAGTGACGGTTGGTAACCCAGGAACTACTGTGTTTCATTTTGAAAAATGCACATTGGTGGACCTGGCTAGACTTTCCTTCTTTCTCCCTTCTCTCCTGCCATGTTCCACTACAGTGGGTTCCCTGTGTATGGGTTATACACCTCTAGGAGTCCAAAGTCAAAGAACTCTGTTTGTGTTTCCGTGTCTGGTTCTTTAACAGTTATTTTGTGTTTATCTTGGCAGACGTCCAAGTGAAAGGTGTGTTTTATTTGCTCTATCATTACTCATAACCTTCCTGTACCGGCACAGTCATTGGCCTCCTGCCAACAGACAGTAATATCCTCGCCCCCGCATGTCTGGACCAATCAGGGTTGATGTTAGGTTAAGCCCTGTCAATTTATTGTCAAGTTGGAGGCTCTTTGGAACCCACCTGATGCTGTTACTTGGTAAAGTGCTTTGGGCATGGGGGAGTCCTGATGATCACAAATGATGGATTATGTTTCATCTTGTACCATCACCTTGTGATCTTAATCCCTGTCTGTCGGTTTGTGTTGGGCAGGATTGGGGTAATTAATCTGGACAGCTGGTAATGCCAGCCAGACCACCGTCCATCTCCAGTCCATCGCATGCTCTGTTCATCGGATTAATAACGTTTTTATGGCATTCTTCATCTTGGACTTGTTTTTTAAACTGATCATCAACAGAAATGTATGTAATTTGGAAGTATTTGCTGAACTCCCTCCCACACAGGCAGCGTGTGGTGGAGTACTTGGTGTGCTTGATTCCTGCTCAAGCTGTAGCCTAGCTCTCACCTTTTTTCTCTGATTTTTCTCTCAGGCTCCAGGCGCTTTCTTTGTTATCTGAAAAAATGTATAAATACATCTCTAAATCACTAAAAATAGATCACAAAATCCTGGTTAACAACTTGGCAGCGTATTGGGACATGTAATCCAATCATGTCATTCATGCAGCAATAAGCTCAATTGTGCAGTAAGGGAGAGCTGTTTGTGGTGTAAGTGTGTGAGAGAGAAACAGAGTGGAAGTGAGAACGTGTGTTTTCATTTCCTCCTCTTCCTTCTGCACCCTCGACCCTCTCCTACTCTGGCCATTCTTCCAGCCCATGTGTCATCTGTGTAGGCCTGTCGGTCTGTCTATCCCAGTGCCTGTGTGTAGCTGATTTCTCTCCTCTCTCTCCCCTCCTGAGTCAGCAGGAATGTGAGGAATGACCTGACCTTTCCCACCCTACTCTTGTCTGCCCATTTTTAGGCATGACCGACTTTCTCTTTTTCCTTCATTCCTCTCTCTCCTTCTGTCATTCTATCCCACCATTAACTACTAATGTATTTTGCCTCCCACCTCTCCTTCCCTCCCCCTCATTCATATCCTTTCTCCTCTCTTACCTTCTCTCTGTTTCTACTCCTCTTACACATTTTCTCCTCAGTCAGCTCAACACTCCAAATTTCTCCCAATTATATGGGAGCCCCCTTGAGCAAGAGGCGCTTGGCTCTATATTCTACCAAACCACAGAGAGGCCTCGAATCCAGAGACCCCGTCCCTCCCCTGGAAGAGTACTGTACCTCCTCTGGTTCCTCCTTTACGATTCACAGGGCTGTTCATGGGTGGCCTGTTTGATCTCCAGTTTACAACACCCCCTGCCCTCACACTCCTACTGTAAGTTAGCACACTATGACATGCCTAGGCCATGTGGGCTGTTCTAGGAAAGTGTTAGGTCTCCCAGTGCAGTCTGTCTGCCAGAGGAAATGGAGCTCTTCATCCCTTGTGTGTTTGTTGACAGGTTCCTGCTGTAAATGCTGGAGTAGAGCTCTGCAACCTGTCATACCTGACAGAGGACTGCTTCCTCTCCTCCCTCTTCTCTCCCTTTTTGGTCTTAATTTAAGGTTAGGGTTAGGGTTAGGTATAAGGTAAGCAGTGTGGTTAAGGTTAGGGTTAGGTTTAAAGTCAGATTTTATGACTTTGTGGGTGTGCCGGCTAGTGACTACCCTGCAGAGCTGCCTCCAGTACATTAGTCATCCCAATAAATGCCAACCTGCTTAATGCAGTTGGCTTTCACGGCTTCTGTGTGTCACGATCGTCATTCATAGAGGAGGACCAAGGCGCAGCGTTGAATGCGAACATTTTATTTATTAGAATGATCACACGATCAAAACAACAAAACGAAAACGTGACGTCCCTGGTTACATAAACAAACCAACACGGAACAAGAAACCACAAATAATGAATGCCTAACGGCTACCTAAGTATGACTCCCAATCAGAGACAACGAGCTACAGCCGTCTCTGATTGGGAGCCACCCTGGCCAACATAGATATACAACAACTAGAACATAAACAAATGAAAACTCACACCCTGGCTCAACATACTAGAGTCCCCAGAGCCAGGGCGTGACAGTACCCCCCCCTAAAGGCGCGGACTCAGACCGCGCCAGCCAAATACAACAGGGGAGGGACCGGGTGGTCACTCCGCCTCGGCGGCGGATCCGGCTCCGGACATGACCCCCACTCCTTCTCTAACCCCCCAAAGTACCCCTGGTCCGGTCTGGCCCTGCTGACCAGAGCTGAACTGAACACTGGTGGAGCGGGTTGCTCTAGCTCCGGCGTGACGCAGCACCTGACCGGTGCCGGACCCGCCACCGGTGGAACAGGCACGGGCCGTGCCGGACTGACGACGCACACCACTGGCTTGGTGTGGGGAGCAGGAGCGGGCCGAGCCGGGCTGACGAAACGCACCACTGACTTGGTGCGGGGAGCAGGAGCGGGCCGGACCGGGCTGACGAAGTGCACCACTGACTTGGTGCGGGGAGCAGGAACGGGCCGTGCCGGGCTGACGACGCGCACCACTGACTTGGTGCGGGGAGCAGGAACGGGCCGGACAGGGCTGACGAAACGCACCACTGACTTGGTGCGGTGAGCAGGAATGGGCCGGACTGGGCTGGCGACGCGCACCACAGACTTGGTGCGGAGAGCAGGAACGGGCCGAACAGGGCTGACGAAACGCACCACAGACTTGGTGCGGGGAGCAGGAACAGGCCGGACCGTACTGGGAACACACACCACTGGCCCTACGTGGGGATCAGGAACAGGCCGGACCGGACTGGCAACACACGCCAGTACCTCTCGCCGTGCCTCTACATCTTCCACCCCCTCTTCGACCAGTGGCCCCCGTAACCTGGCGGCCTCCTCTGCCAATCCGCTGGGCCGCTCTGCCGCGGTCTCCTGCTGGCCCGTCGTCCACGGCGTTAGCCCCCCCCTAAAAATTTTCTGGGCGTCTCCCCTACCCGTGGACCAGGTCTCCATGTCCCTCGCCAGCCTTTCGCCCTTCTGCCACAATGTCAAGCCCTTCTCTTCCTCACTCGGCTTGACCCAGTCGAGGAGGCGAAGGAGATCTGTTAGGGATCTCCCTGGCGATGGCTCCTGGACACGCTGCTTGGTCACATCTTGGTGGTTTCTTCTGTCACGATCGTCATTCATAGAGGAGGACCAAGGCGCAGCGTTGAATGCGAACATTTTATTTATTAGAATGATCACACGATCAAAACAACAAAACGAAAACGTGACGTCCCTGGTTACATAAACAAACCAACACGGAACAAGAAACCACAAATAATGAATGCCTAACGGCTACCTAAGTATGACTCCCAATCAGAGACAACGAGCTACAGCCGTCTCTGATTGGGAGCCACCCTGGCCAACATAGATATACAACAACTAGAACATAAACAAATGAAAACTCACACCCTGGCTCAACATACTAGAGTCCCCAGAGCCAGGGCGTGACACTGTGTGTGCCTGCACACATGTACACTTCCTGTCTCTGTATAGTAAAACACCTCTAACAGATGGAGCAACTTGAGGATGAGCACACAAAAAAATTTCTTGAGGCAAGCCGAAGTCTACACCCCTTCGACGGTGATTGGTCAACAGTAGGGATTCTTTAAGTGTTTTGTCATTCAATTGTTTTCATACACATTTTTCACTTGAGAAATACTGCCCCAAACATCTTATTTAGATGTAAAATTGCGCGACTAAGAACTCCTCGGCAAAAACGTACAAATTAATGACAGATTTCTTGAGTTATCTTAGATTAATTCTGACTATTTTGAGTAAGTGTATACTGGTTACGATGTCTCAAAATGGACAAACAGTACTATTGCCGCTTTTTTCTCGTTTTTTCAAGTGAAGGTCTTTTAAGGGAGTATACGAGCACACTCATTCGGTTCGGCTAGGTTTCAGCCAGACTGAAGCATGCTAACACCTTCAGCCTGGCCCAGCCTCTCTCCTAGAGCCCAGTATGTTTACAGTCAGCCTGGCCCAGCCTCTCTCCTACAGCCCAGTAGGTTTACAGTCAGCCTGGCCCAGCCTCCTTCCTACAGCCCAGTAGGTTTACAGTCAGCCTGGCCTAGCCTCTCTCCTAGAGCCCAGTAGGTTTACAGTCAGCCTGGCCCAGCCTCTCTCCTAGAGCCCAGTAGGTTTACAGTCAGCCTGGCCCAGCCTCCCTCCTACAGCCCAGTAGGTTTGCAGTCAGCCTGGCCCAGCCTCCCTCCTACAGCCCAGTAGGTTTACAGTCAGCCTGGCCCAGCCTCCCTCCTACAGCCCAGTAGGTTTACAGTCAGCCTGGCCCAGCCTCTCTCCTAGAGCCCAGTAGGTTTACAGTCAGCCTGGCCCAGCCTCTCTCCTAGAGCCCAGTAGGTTTACAGTCCGCCTGGCCCAGCCTCCCTCCTACAGCCCAGTAGGTTTACAGTCAGCCTGGCCCAGCCTCCCTCCTAGAGCCCAGTAGGTTTACAGTCAGCCTGGCCCAGACTCTCCTACAGCCCAGTAGGTTTACAGTCAGCCTGGCCCAGACTCTCTCCTAGAGCCCAGTAGGTTTACAGTCCGCCTGGCCCAGCCTCCCTCCTACAGCCCAGTAGGTTTACAGTCAGCCTGGCCCAGCCTCCCTCCTAGAGCCCAGTAGGTTTACAGTCAGCCTGGCCCAGACTCTCTCCTACAGCCCAGTAGGTTTACAGTCAGCCTGGCCCAGCCTCTCTCCTAGAGCCCAGTAGGTTTACAGTCAGCCTGGCCCAGCCTCCCTACTACAGCCCAGTAGGTTTACAGTCAGCCTGGCCCAGCCTATCTCCTACAGCCCAGTAGGTTTACAGTCAGCCTGGCCCAGACTCTCTCCTAGAGCCCAGTAGGTTTACAGTCAGCCTGGCCCAGCCTCTCTCCTACAGCCCATTAGCTCAGCAGCAGCTGGGAGACTGTCTGTTTCTCATCCTCTGGTCCATGCTCAGGTCGTCCTCACTTTGTGCTTTATTGAAGTTAAATCACTTGTCACCAAACTATAAAACCTCATATAAGCCCCACTGACCCCATGACTCCCCACCACACTGTGGAAGCTAAGCCACGGCCCAACTTCAGCAACAGCACAACGCTGCCTGGCTCTCACAGAGCAATATACTACTGACACTTCCTTCTGCTCACTCTCCATGTTAAACCTCCTTTTGATTATTTAAGAAAGCAGGGAATTATTTATTATTATTATTTAAGTTTCCCATGGCAGGCTGGGGAGAAGAGAAGAGGGTAGGGCCTGTTTCCCATGGCAGGCTGGGGAGAAGAGAAGAGGGTAGGGCCTGTTTCCCAAGGCAGGCTGGGGAGAAGAGAAGAGGGTAGGGCCTGTTTCCCAAGGCAGGCTGGGGAGAAGAGAAGAGGGTAGGGCCTGTTTCCCAAGGCAGGCTGGGGAGAAGAGAAGAGGGTAGGGCCTGTTTCCCAAGGCAGGCTGGGGAGAAGAGAAGAGGGTAGGGCCTGTTTCCCATGGAGGGACTGGGATGAACTTGAAGAGGCTGTTCCAGAGGGGCTCCGCCTGCCCTGCCCTGCCCTGCCTGCCCTGCCCTGCCTGCCACAGTGGTTTGACTTTACAGGGCAGAGGGCATAAAGTGATATAAGCAGATTCAATATAATTCCAATGCAAGAACCCCCCCATAATTGTGCCACCTCACCGATTTTAACTGCCCCCTTAGTGACATTATCCTGGTGCTGGGTCTATCTATTAGATGTGTGTGTCCCAATGTGCTTGCTCTCCATTGCTGACACTCCTGCTCTTCCCCTCTGTGTGTGTAGCTGGATGGGACGATGGACCTGGATGAGCGACGGCTGATCCGTTCAGCCATCAGAGAGCTGAGGAGGAGAGAGATAGAGGACATGGAGGCAGCCTTGGCCAGCAAACGCTTCCGGCCCAAACACCTCAACCAGAATGATGACAAAGAGAACCAACTCACAAATAGGTGAGCCTCCTGAATCTGAATACACACACTTGCACATGTGCACACATACCCATTACCCATGACAGATTGTGCCAGTCCAGATGAGCTGCCTGGAAACTCTTTGAGACAACAAGCACACAAACCCAGATGCAGCACTCCCTCTCCTTCTCCAGGGAGGCCTTCTGGGAAGTTGAGCCATAACACTGCAGATCTGGAAAAACCATGACAGGGAGTCCATAAAAACAGGGGAGGTGGAAGAACTCATTTGCAATTTTTCATTATGCAAATACACACCTGTGTAGGCATAACGTTGAATAATAATTGGTATGTACTGTATGTATTCTCATACATTTACTCATACCTTTAATGTGATATTCCTAACAGGATCACTGTCATGTAGCCTACAGACAAATGCACACCCATTCTATTAGGTGCCTACCAGCCATATCCCTGGAGGTAAAGACGTCAATACAGTCGTTTGCGGGTATTTTATTTATTTGTATTTCATTAGTGTTTATTGACCCGTTACAGCAGGCTTGAACGTTTTACCGGTTCAGCGATGCGCAGCCGCCAGGACCCGTCACGCCACGTAGCCATAGCAGACGGAAAAACTGACGACTCTGCAGTCGTCGTCTCCTGTCGCCTCCTGTCATCTGTTTATTACACCAGCTTGTTTTTCATTAGAATCCAATTAGAAACAGGACTAACAGGATAACAACATCCCTTTGTGTGCCAATCATCATCATTGTACTTTTTATTAGTTTTCATTGGGCTGTAATGGTAGTGAGTGAGTTCAGGCTGGAGCGTCTAGGCCGAGCCCTGTGGGCCATGCTGGCTTGCTGCTCCTCTCTGCTAATTAATGACTGTCTTTACTACAGCAGCTTTACTGCAGCCAGCCAGGAAGGGCCCCAGCAGACAGCTGCTCCTAGTTGACTCCTGTTCTGGGCTGCACTTCAGACTTCACAGATCCACAACATGAGGAGGACACTGGCCCTCCTACATCTCTACTCCTACTGGATCACATTAGGAACAATGACTGTTAAATGAGTTCCGTTTGCTGGGTAGTTGGATTACTTGGGTTACAAAAATAACAGAGGTGCCCCTTTTTAAAGCTGGAAGAATATGTCTATTAACCACATGCATGCACGTGTCCGTACAGGCTCACACACACACACACACACACACACACACACACACACACACACACACACACACACCACAGAAAGCCTCCTGAAAGCAACATTATCCTTTTCGACTCACTGCAGGAATGTAAAATATTATATTCCAAGTTCCACACATCCTCCAATCCCAATGAGGCGAGGAGAGAGGGAAAGAGAGGGGGAATGAGTCAGAGAGGAAGAGAAAAAGAGGCAGAGAGATGGAGAGATATATGAGGATCGAGAGGCGGAAGAAGTTTTTGCCAGGCTATGTGCTTCTCTCTCCTTTACGTGTCTATCATGCGGTCACTTTTTCCAGGCTGGATTTGGGAATCTTTTTCTCCGAAAATTTTTTTTCTTCCCGGCCAAGACAATCTGTCTGGCGTCTTGAATTACTCCACCGCCTGCCCGTCACACGCTAGTGGAGCCAGTGAGGCCCACAACACTGCAGGATGCCTCTGAATGTGGATTACACCGCCCTTCTGGCAACCCTAACACGTGTACAGGGTCAAGCATCACCAACTACCATAAAAGCAGCACTCTGATGTGTCAGTGTGTGTTTCTGTTTGTGTGTCTGTATCTCAGGTCAGATTCGGGTGACTCCCTAAACGTGCTCGCTGTGAAACTACAAACCATCCAGGACATTGAGGAACTGACTGGACTGGTGAGGACAGTGATGTACACCACACACATTACTTGTGAATTTACAGTTAGACATCAATATCAATCTTTCACAAACCTCCATGCACATACTGCCCTAGATTAGTAAATACATGACAAGTCAGCCAGTCTCGCTCATCCGTTTCTGTATCTCTCTATGTGGCCCTCTGAGTTTGTCTCCCCATCCACATGAATGGTTCTGAGCATCACTCTCCCTGTGTTGTGATGGCTGTCCTGTCTGTGTGTTCCAGCTACGCGGGGCCACTGCATATGAGGAGAGGAAACTGATCAGAGCTGCCATCCGCCGCCTCCGAGACGAGGAGCAGCAGGGTGAGTACAGAGGAGGAGGAGAAGGAGCTGGAGGTAGAGGAGAAGGAGAAGGAACAGAGAGGAGGTAGAGGAGAAGGAGAAGGAACAGAGAGGAGCTGGAGGTAGAGGAGGAGGAGAAGGAACAGAGAGGAGGTGGAGGAGGAGGAGGGGGAGAAGGAACAGAGAGGAGGTGGAGGAGGAGGAGAAGGAACAGAGAGGAGCTGGAGGTAGAGGAGGAGGAGAAGGAACAGAGAGGAGCTGGAGGTAGAGGAGGAGGAGAAGGAACAGAGAGGAGCTGGAGGTAGAGGAGGAGGAGAAGGAACAGAGAGGAGCTGGAGGTAGAGGAGGAGGAGAAGGAACAGAGAGGAGCTGGAGGTAGAGGAGGGGGAGAAGGAACAGAGAGGAGCTGGAGGTAGAGGAGGAGGAGAAGGAACAGAGAGGAGCTGGAGGTGGAGGAGGAGGAGAAGGAACAGAGAGGAGCTGGAGGTAGAGGAGGAGGAGAAGGAACAGAGAGGAGCTGGAGGTAGAGGAGGGGGAGAAGGAACAGAGAGGAGGTGGAGGTAGAGGAGGGGGAGAAGGAACAGAGAGGAGCTGGAGGTAGAGGAGGGGGAGAAGGAACAGAGAGGAGCTGGAGGTAGAGGAGGGGGAGAAGGAACAGAGAGGAGGTGGAGGAGGAGGAGAAGGAACAGAGAGGAGCACACATACAGTACACACATCCCTCCAGGGGGGCAGGCATACAACACTCCCCTGCTACCTGTTAAGTAGAAGGACATGTTAGGATACTACTCTCTAATAATCCTGTTCCCTGTTGCCCAGAGGTTCTCCCTTTCTCGTCCTCACTCTATTTCCACCCTTTTGTTCTCTGTCCTTCTCACCCCCTCTGGCTTGTTCATTCAGTAGTAAGCTCCTGTCATGACAAATTAAACCACTTTAGCTTCTCCATAAGTATGTCTCACTCTCAGCTCCCATTGGAGATTTGATAGGTTTGGATCCTCTCCCCCCTCATCAGTCAGTACTCAGTCATCACCAAGCCACCTTTTTTTAAATGTTTTAATTTAATTTAAATATTTTTTTTAGGGGGTAGATCAGCTTTAATATTGCAGATAGATTATAACTTCCATCAATGTAATTGTCTGCATCACTTCCAATCCCCCATATGTTTTTTTCTCTCGCAAATATATATATATACATGTGTATGTGTATGTATATATATATATACATATATACAGTGGGGAGAACAAGTATTTGATACACTGCCGATTTTGCAGGTTTTCCTACTTACAAAGCATGTAGAGGTCTGTAATTTTTTATCATAGGTACACTTCAACTGTGAGAGATGGAATCTAAAACAAAAATCCAGAATATCACATTGTATGATTTTTAAGAAATGAATTTGCAGTTTATTGCATGACATAAGTATTTGATACATCAGAAAAGCAGAACTTAATATTTGGTACAGAAACCTTTGTTTGCAATTACAGAGATCATACGTTTCCTGTTGGTCTTGACCAGGTTTGCACACACTGCAGCAGGGATTTTGGCCCACTCCTCCATACAGACCTTCTCCAGATCCTTCAGGTTTCGGGGCTGTCGCTGGGCAATACGGACTTTCAGCTCCCTCCAAAGATTTTCTATTGGGTTCAGGTCTGGAGACTGGCTAGGCCACTCCAGGACCTTGAGATGCTTCTTACGGAGCCACTTCTTAGTTGCCCTGGCTGTCTGTTTCGGGTCGTTGTCATGCTGGAAGACCCAGCCACGACCCATCTTCAATGCTCTTACTGAGGGAAGGAGGTTGTTGGCCAAGATCTTGCGATACATGGCCCCATCCATCCTCCCTTCAATACGGTGCAGTCGTCCTGTCCCCTTTGCAGAAAAGCATCCCCAAAGAACGATGTTTCCACCTCCATGCTTCACGGTTGGGATGGTGTTCTTGGGGTTGTACTCATCCTTCTTCTTCCTCCAAACACGGCGAGTGGAGTTTAGACAAAAAAGCTCTATTTTTGTCTCATCAGACCACATGACCTTCTCCCATTCCTCCTCTGGATCATCCAGATGGTCATTGGCAAACTTCAGACGGGCCTGGACATGCGCTGGCTTGAGCAAGGGGACCTTGCGTGCGCTGCAGGATTTTAATCCATGACGGCGTAGTGTGTTACTAATGATTTTCTTTGAGACTGTGGTCCCAGCTCTCTTCAGGTCATTGACCTGGTCCTGCCGTGTAGTTCTGGGCTGATCCCTCACCTTCCTCATGATCATTGATGCCCCACAAGGTGAGATCTTGCATGGAGCCCCAGACCGAGGGTGATTGACAGTCATCTTGAACTTCTTCAATTTTCTAATAATTGCGCCAGCAGTTGTTGCCTTCTCACCAAGCTGCTTGCCTATTGTCCTGTAGCCCATCCCAGCCTTGTGCAGGTCTACAATTTTATCCCTGATGTCCTTACACAGCTCTCTGGTCTTGGCCATTGTGGAGAGGTTGGAGTCTGTTTGATTGAGTGTGTGGACAGGTGCTTTTATACAGGTAACGAGTTCAAACAGGTGCAGTTAATACAGGTAATGAGTGGAGAACAGGAGGGCTTCTTAAAGAAAAACTAACAGGTCTGTGAGAGCCGGAATTCTTACTGGTTGGTAGGTGATCAAATACTTATGTCATGCAATAAAATGCAAATTAATTACTTAAAAATCATACAATGTGATTTTCTGGATTTTTGTTTTAGATTCCCTCTCTCACAGTTGAAGTGTACCTATGATAAAAATTACAGACCTCTACATGCTTTGTAAGTAGGAAAACCTGCAAAATCGGCAGTGTATCAAATACTTGTTCTCCCCACTGTGTGTGTGTGTATATATATATATATATATATATATATATATATATATATATATATATATATATATATATATATATAAACACACACAGTGAGGGGAAAAAAGTATTTGATCCCCTGCTGATTTTGTACGTTTACCCACTGACAAAGATAAGATCAGTCTATAATTTTAATGGTAGGTTTATTTGAACAGTGAGAGACAGAATAACAACAAAGAAAATCCAGAAAAACGCATGTAAATGTTTTTATAAATTGATTAGCATTTTAATGAGGGAAATAATTATTTGACCCCTCTGCAAAACATGACTTAGTACTACTTAAACATGATTTAGTACTTGGTGGCAAAACCCTTGTTGGCAATCACAGAGGTCAGACGTTTCTTGTAGTTGGCCACCAGGTTTGCACACATCTCAGGAGGGATTTTGTCCCACTCCTCTTTGCAGATCTTCTCCAAGTCATTAAGGTTTCGAGGCTGACGTTTGGCAACTCGAACCTTCAGCTCCCTCCACAGATTTTCTATGGGATTAAGGTCTGGAGACTGGCTAGGCCACTCCAGGACCTTAATGTGCTTCTTCTTGAGCCACTCCTTTGTTGCCTTGGCCGTGTGTTTTGGGTCATTGTCATGCTGGAATACCCACCCACGACCCATTTTCAATGCCCTGGCTGAGGGAATGAGGTTCTCACCCAAGATTTGATGGTACATGGCCCTCGTCCATCGTCCCTTTGATGCGGTGAAGTTGTCCTGTCCCCTTAGCAGAAAAACACCCCCAAAGCATAATGTTTCCACCTCCATGTTTGACGGTGGCGATGGTGTTCTTGGGGTCATAGGCAGCATTCCTCCTCCTCCAAACACAGCGAGTTGAGTTGATGCCAAAGAGCTCCATTTTGGTCTCATCTGACCACAACACTTTCACCCAGTTCTCCTCTGAATCATTCAGATGTTCATTGGCAAACTTCAGACGGGCATGTATATGTGCTTTCTTGAGCAGGGGGACCTTGCGGGCGCTGCACGATTTCAGTCCTTCACGGCGTAGTGTGTTACCAATTGTTTTCTTGGTGACTATGGTCCCAGCTGCCTTGAGATCATTGACAAGATCCTCCCGTGTAGTTCTGGGCTGATTCCTCACCGTTCTCATGATCATTGCAACTCCACGAGGTGAGATCTTGTATGGAGCCCCAGGCCGAGGGAGATTGCCAGTTATTTTGTGTTTCTTCCATTTGCGAATAATCGCACCAACTGTTGTCACCTTCTCACCAAGCTGCTTGGCGATGGTCTTGTAGCCCATTCCAGCCTTTTGTAGGTCTACAATCTTGTCCCTGACATCCTAGGAGCGCTCTTTGGTCTTGGCCATGGTGGAGAGTTTGGAATCTGATTGATTGATTGCTTCTGTGGACAGGTGACTTTTATACAGGTAACAAGCTGAGATTAGGAGCACTCCCTTTAAGAGTGTGCTCCTAATCTCAGCTCGTTACCTGTATAAAAGACACCTGGGAGCCAGAAATCTTTCTGATTGAGAGGGGGTCAAATACTTATTTCCCTCATTAAAATCAATTTATAACATTTTTGATATGCGTTTTTCTGGATTTTTCTGTTGTTATTTTGTCTCTCACTGTTCAAGTAAACCTACCATTAAAATTATAGACTGATCATTTCTTTGTCAGTGGGCAAACGTACAAAATTAGCATAAATATGGAAGTTACAATCTATCTGCAATATTAAAGCTGATCTACCACCTAAAAAAAAAAAAAGACAAAAAAAAAAAGAGGTGGCTTGTTTGGTTATTCTGGTGATGACTGAGTACATGTATATACATTCATGCATACATACATACATACATATCCTTTAAAAAATATATATTTCCCTTTATTACTTTCCAACCCCACCACCCCTTCCCTAATTGGAGTAAACTAGTGAATAACTATGCTTAGGCCTCTACTTCCAGCTTATACATACTATATACATTTTATGGACATAGTCAATTTTACAATAATTCTATTTTGTTTGTTTTTACTCCTCAACTTCCTCAACCGCTCCGATCATTTTCATGATGTCCATCCGGTTTGCTTCTATATGCCATATCTTTCTAACTGTGCTCTTTCACAAAAGCTCTCAACTTATAACCTATATACTTATTATGGACACAGTATGCTTACATTATTAGTTATCTTGTTGTTATTAGTTGTTGTTAGTTGTTATTAGTCCCATCCTTCAACTCCATTCAACACCACCCATCTTTCTTCCAACTCAAGATGTGTGGCTATAGCTGTGGCATGTGTATGTGTTCTGTGTAACCAGTTGGCTGTGGTGTGTGTTTCAGGTACGGGGAAGAAATGGTGGACCACTGGCCGATGCCTGGAGTCTGAGGGCCTGGATCTCCAAAACAGCCTGGGAGCAGGGGTGAGTCCTGGGAGGGAGGTGTATGTATGTATATGTGTGTGTGTGTGTGTGTGAGAGAGAGGTGGAATGACAAGCAGGTTTGATTATGACAGCTGTATGAAATATAGATAAACGGCAAGGTGATGAACTGATTGGGGCTGCGATCTCACTGGCTGTCGTGTTCAATGCCTCAAACTTTTTTATAGAAGAGAGATCATGTTGCAACTTACACGTCAACTTTCATTTGCAAAAATAAGCCCAACACAGACTCATTTGCTGGTGTTGAGTATATGTTTGCAGAGAACAGTGACCATTTAGGTTTTGTGCTGCCACAATGAAGAATGCAGAAAACAACAACACCCAGGCATGTGACTCCGTCAGACACCGTCTGTCTCATGACTGTGTCTTCTCTTCACCATGTTCCAAACACATAAACTGACAGACAAGCAGACGTTCTTGCGCCAAAGTGGCTGCCACAACGCAAGGAATGAATTTTCATTCTTCATACCTCATTCATTTCTGGCTAAGTACACCCAGAGACGGAGAATTACATTTGCTCAGGCTCTGGTGTTTGGTATAGACAGTAAATCCTTGGTGATAAGAACACCCTGCGAGCCATGCCTGTCATTCTACACACTACTATTAACCTAGGCTGTCACTCTCCACACTCTCACTTCACACTGAAGGGAAATTATTATGTTTTGATTATGTGTGGCAACCACAGCATGGGCGTGTCTGTGCGTGCGTGCCTATCTGTCCATCTGTCTGTCGGCGATTGGAAGGGATGAGCGATGGTAGTCTCTCTCCCATTCTATGTTCCTCCCTCTCACCTCTCTTGCTTTCTCTCTCCACCTTTCAGACTTGAGGCTTTGCATGTCAAAGCACTTTACTCGTTTGGTTTGGAGAGGCCCCCTTGTGGTCAGTGAAGTGAACTACTGTATTCATATCCCTAATAGCTACAGTTAACTTCAAATTAAATAATGACATGTTTCCTGTGAAAGCATTGCAGATTGACTGATGAGCTTATGTGCTGATAATGCTGAAAGACATCTCTGTAAAACAACATAATAGTCTTTGAGAACTGCTTGCCTGGGGCCAGATGCTATCTTATCACTGTTGCTTGATCAGTTTGTCTGCACTCCCTGATGAATGCACTGTTTTCTAAAGACAGGATCTCTGTTGGGGAAACAAAGTAAATTCCTATTGTATGCCGTCATTCCTGTAGGAATTGGGTTGATGAAGGTGATGGGGGTTATATGCTCAGCCAGAATGATGTACCCACATGAAAAAATGCTACAGTTTACTATATAATACTACAGTACTTACTATAGAATTCTATAGCAAACTGTAGTGTACTCTAGAATACTATACTACAAACTGTAGTATCCCTCGATCATGTGTAGTACTTACTATAGAATGTTGTAGTATACTATAGAATACTATAGAAAATCCTACAGTATTATCAGCAAAAAAAGCACTGTTGTAAATACTATAGTAATGTCCGCAAAAAAAACACTACAGTCCGCAAAAACAAATACTTTTTAAACTATAGTAGTGCTGAGTGATTAGTGCTTCTTTTAGGTTCTTTGGATTTTGGTTTGATTATTAAAAAATAATCATGGTTTTGATCAAATAAATTGACAAATGCACTATGCATTATGTGGGTTGAATGCTGTAACAACCCAGAATAAAACAATTAGGCTAATAAAAGTCCCATGATGACTAGCCATTACTGCTTATCACTTATTAACCATCATTTATTCACATTACTTTACTTTAATAAAATATTTCAGTTGTTTTGTATTTTACATTTATTTTATGTGATGACTTTATTATTTCATTCAAAGTCATCATCTCATCTCTGCCTATGCTGTCTGACAAAATCACTATTTTGTAGTTCTTCAAAGTAAAAAAGGCATACTTGGATTATGGTCATTGTAGGTAATTACCATGGTTTCTGCACTAAACTATTTAAAATATTGGCCTGTTGGAAACTACAACTCCCAACTACATCGCTCAGTTCGGGCTTGATCTGATTTATCTCTAGAGAAACTGCGCATCGATCCCCCCCCCCCAATGTAAATAGTCTTATGGCTTGGGGGTAGAAGCTGTTAAGGAGCCTTTTGGACCTAGACTTGGCGCTCCGGTACCATTTGCCGTGCAGTCGCAGAGAGAACAGCCTATGACTTGGGTGACTGGAGTCTTTGACAATTCTTTGGGCCTTCCTCTGACACCGCCTAGTATATAGGTCCTGGATGGCAGGAAGCTTAGCCCCAGTGATGTACTGGGCCATACAAACTACCCTCTTTAGCGCCTTATGGTTGGATGCCAAGCAGTTGCTGTACCAGGCGGTGATGCAACCGGTCAGGATGCTCTCTGGTACAGCTGTAGAACTTTTTGAGGATCTGGGGACCCATGCCAAATCTTTTCAGTGTCTTGAGGGGGAAAAGGTGATGTCATGCCCTCTTCACGACTGTCTTGATGTGTTTGGACCATGATAGGTCCTTAGTGATGTGGACACCAAGGAACTTGAAACTCTCTACCCACTCCACTACAGCCCTGTCGATGTGAATGGGGGCGTGTTCGACCCTCCTTTTCCTGTAGTCCACGATCATTCCTTTGTCTTGCTCACATTGAGGGAGAGGTTGTTGTCCTGGCACCACACTGCCAGGTCTCTGACCTCCTCCCTATAGGCTGTCTCATCGTTATCGGTAATCAGGCCTACCACTGTTGTGCTTGGCCACGCGGTCATGGGTGAACAGGGAGTACAGGAGGAGCCTAAGCACGCACCCCTGAGGGGCCCCCGTGTTGAGGAACAGCGAGGCAGATGTATTGTTGCCTACACTTACCACCTGGGGGCGGCCCGTCAGGAAGTCCAGGATCCAGTTGCAGAGGGAGGTGTTAAGTCCCAGGGTCCTTAGCTTAGTGATGAGCTTTGTGGGCACTATGGTGTTGAACGCTGTGCTGTAGTCAATGAACAGCATTCTCACATAGGTGTTTTGTCCAGGTGGGAAAGGGCAGTGTGGAGTGCGATTGAGATTGCGTCATCTGTGGATCTGTTGGGGCGGTATGCGAATTGGAGTCTGTCTTGAGTCAGTCTGCTCTGTCTGTAATGGGGCTGTGGCCAACAACAACAGCAGCAACTGGCAGCAGGGCTCCTTCCACACATCACAGGAGCGGGTCTCTTTGAGCCGCGCTCAATTGTCCCCTGGCAGATGGAGACCCCAGATAATGGTCTATAGTTCACACACACACATACATACGTGTGTGTGTGTGTGTGTGTGTGTGTGTGTGTGTGTGTGTGTGTGTGTGTGTGTGTGTGTGTGTGTGTGTGTGTGTGTGTGTGTGTGTGTGTGTGTGTGTGTGTGTGTGTGTGTGTGTGTGTGTATATATATACTACCGTTCAAGTTTGGGGTCACTTAGAAATGTCCTTGTTTTCCTTGTTTTTTTCCATTAAAATAACATCAAATTGATCAGAAATACAGTGTAGACATTGTTAATGTTGTAAATGGCTATTGTAGCTGGAAACGATTAAAGGCTCAAAATGCCCAGAAACAAATAACTTTCTTCTGAAGCTCGTCAGTCTATTCTTGTTCTGAGAAATGAAGGCTATTCCATGCGAGAAAAGCCATATCTCAGACTGGCTAATAAAAAGAAAAGATTAAGATGGGCAGTCTGAGATATTGCTTTTTCTTAGCATCCCAGAGTCGCCTCTTCACTGTTGACGTTGAGACTGGTGTTTTGCGGGTACTATTTAATGAAGCTGCTGGTTGAGGACCTGTGAGGCGCCTGTTTCTCAAACTAGACACTCTAATGTATTTGTCCTCTCGCTCAGTTGTGCACCGGGGCCACCCACTCCTCTTTCTATTCTGGTTAGAGCCAGTTTGCGCTGTTCTGTGAAGGGAGTAGTACACAGCGTTGTACGAGATCTTCAGTTTCTTGGCAATTTCTCGCATGGAATAGCCTTCATTTCTCAGAACAAGAATAGACTGACGAGTTTCAGAAGAAAGTTATTTGTTTCTGGCCATTTTGAGCCTGTAATCGAACCCACAATTGCTGATGCTCCAGATACTCAACTAGTCTCAAGAAGGCTAGTTTTATTTCTTCTTTAATCAGCACAACAGTTTTCAGCTGTGCTAACATAATTGCAAAAGGGTTTTCTAATAATCAATTAGCCTTTTAAAATTATAAACTTGGATTAGCAAACACAACGTGCCATTGGAACACAGGACTGATGGTTGCTGATAATGGGCCTCTGTACGCCTATGTAGATATTCCATAAAAAATCAGCCGTTTCCAGCTACAATAGCCATTTACAACATTAACAATGTCTACACTGGGGCCTCCCAGGTGGCGCAGTGGTCTAAGGCACTGCATTGCAGTGCTAGCTGTGCCACTAGAGATCCTGGTTCGAGTCCAGGCTCTGTCGCAGCCGGCCGCGACCAGGAGACCCATGGGGCGACGCATCATTTTCGTCCAGGGTAGGGGAGGGTTTGGCCGGCAGGGATGTTCTTGTCCCATCGCGCACTAGCGACTCCTGTGGCGGGCCGGGCGCAGTGCACGCTGACTCGGTCGCCAGGTGTACGGTGTTTCCTCCGACACATTGGTGCGGCTGGCTTCCGGGTTAAGTGGGCACTGTGTCAAGAAGCAATGCGGCTCGGTTGGGTTGTGTTTCGGAGGACGCACGACTCTCGACCTTCGCCTTTCCCGTGTCCGTATGGGAGTTGCGGCGATGGGACAAAACTGTAACTACCAATTAGATACCACGAAAAAGGGAGTAAAATACAACAACAAAAAAATGTCTACACTGTATTTCTGATCAATTTGATGTTATTTTAATGGACAAAATAATTTATTTTCTTTCGAAAACAAGGACATTTCTAAGTGACCCCAAACTTTTGAACGGTAGTGTATGTATGTATGTATATGTGTATATATATATATTACAGTTGAAGTCGGAAGTTTACATACACTTAGGTTGGAGTCATTAAAACTTGTTTTTCAACCACTCCACAAATGTCTTGTTAACAAACTATAGTTTTGGCAAGTCGGTTAGGACATCTACTTTGCGCATGACACAAGTAATTTTTCCAACAATTGTTTAGACAGATTATTTCACTTATAATTCACTGTATCTCAATTCCAGTGGGTCAGAAGTTTACATACACTAAGTTGATTGTGCCTTTAAACAGCTTGGAAAATTCCAGGAAATGATGTCATGGCTTTAGAAGCTTCTGATAGGCTAATTGACATAATTTGAGTCAATTGGAGGTGTACCTGTGGATTCATTTCAAGGCCTACCTTCAAACTCAGTGCCTCTTTGCTTGACATCATGGGAAAATCAAAAGAAATCAGCCAAGACCTCAGAAAAAAATGGTAGACCTCCACAAGTCTGGTTCATCCTTGGGAGCAATTTCCAAACGCCTGAAGGTACCACGTTCATCTGTACAAACAATAGTACGCAAGTATAAACACCATGGGACCACGCAGCCGTCATACCGCTCAGGAAGGAGACGCGTGCTGTCTCCTAGAGATTAACGTACTTTGGTGCGAAAAATGCAAATCAATCCCAGAACAACAGCAAAGGACCTTGTGAAGATGCTGGAGGAAATAGGTACAAAAGTATCTATATCCACAGTAAAACGAGTCCTATATCGACATAACCTGAAAGGCCGCTCAGAAAGGAAGAAGCCACTGCTCCAAAACCGCCATAAAAAAGCCAGACTACGGTTTGCAACTGCACATGGGGACAAAGATCGTACTTTTGGTCTGGTCTGGTCTGATGAAACAAAAATAGAACTGTTTGGCCATAATGACCATTGTTATGTTTGGAGGAAAAAGGGGGTAACTTGCAAGCCGAAGAACACCATTCCAACCGTGAAGCACGGGGGTGGCAGCATCATGCTGTGGGGGTGCTTTGCTGCAGGAGGGACTGGTGCACTTCACAAAATAGATTGCATCATGAGGAAGGAAAATGATGTGGATATATTGAAGCAACATCTCAAGACATCAGTCAGGAAGTTAAAGCTTGGTCGCAAATGGGTCTTCCAAATGGACAATGACCCCAAGCATACTTCCAACGTGGCAAAATGGCTTATGGACAACAAAGTAAAGGTATTGGAGTGGCCATCACAAAGCCCTGACCCCAATCCTATAGAAAATGTGTGGGCAGAACTGTAAAAGCGTGTGCGAGCAAGGAGGCCTACAAACCTGACTCAGTTACACCAGCTCTGTCAGGAGGAATAGCTAAATTCTGACTATTGTGAGGAAGTGTTACTGGCTATGTTGTTGCTACGGTGGCCCAAGGGGGACAAACAACCATGCCATTTTTCAATGTATGCGGACGTCTTAAGGATCGCGATATAGAGAGGAAGGAGAGAGGGAGGGAGAAGGAGGCTTAGAAGGAGCCCTGTGGAGACAGATGGGGAGGGAGGGGAAGTGGAGGGAGTGGCCTGTTGGTGGGTGTGTAGGAGTGTGTGTGGTGACTGAGGGAGTGGAGAGGTAGAGGACGTCCTCCCTACTAGAGTGAGCGCAGAGAGAGAGAGAGAGAGAGAGAGCGAGAGAGGACAGACAGGCAGCAGAGCCAGGGGAAGAAGGTAAATGACACATTCTAGTTCTTCCACTCTCACGGACCTAGTTGTCCTCTTTGAATACCTGTCCTTTTTTCAGACTTTTTTCTTCCTTATCAAATTCCATCTATTTCTCTTTACACAATTCATCCATGTTTCTTCTTGTTTCTCATTGCGCTGAGACCTGAGGACCTGCCTTTTTGATAATTGGGCAGTCATTTAGAACTTCTATCAATTGGTTTCAGAAATCCATAGTTAATAGCATACAGGTGTGTAGTTGTTGTACATTGTGCAACTTTACAAATGGTTATGTGTCAGATCTGTCTTCGTGGCCAGGTGTGTGTTGTATGGAGCAGGTGAGGTAGACCAGACTGGGGGCAGAGACAGTGTTTGTTCACTAATCTGATATGATCATAAACCTGTAACAAACTGAGATGAGCAGTTTATGATGACAGGTATAATGGGAAGAAAGATCTGCTGTAGTGAGAGGATGGAAGATGGAGAAAGGGAAAAGAAACCGTCACGAAAGGGAGATGGATGGCAAAAATTGAGAGTTGGATGGAGAGAGGGAGAAACGGCTTTAACTGGACTTTGAATGATGTGTGGGTAATTGAAAAACGGGAATGAGGCTTATGGGTGAATTCTCTGTGGGTTGTCTCTTGTCCAGGTTGTGTGTGTGTGTGATGCAGAAATGATTGATTTCTACTTCAGTCCTGCTAATGTATTTCACTTACTGGAGGTCGGCCGAGTGTATGTGGTTCCTCAGGCTTTGCCATTCAGTCATGGAAAAGGACCCTGTCAGACTTCCCTCAGACAGCCATGGAGAGGAGAGCCTGACCTCATCGCATTCTGACCTCATCTGCACAATAATGGATTCTGCTTCCATGGAAAATGTGTCCATTCTAACCCAGGTAGCTGCAGTAATCCCTGGTTTAGTTGAGCTGCCTCTTCTCTGCTCTACTCTGGGTGGTGCAGTAATCCGTAGTAGTCTGATTTTGCTCCGTGCTTGTCGGCTCTGCTTCATTGTTGTTTCTGTGGCTCTGAGGGTTCAGAGGAGTCCAGATGGCCCACACCTTGGCTGTGATCAGGCCAGAGGACAGTTGGCATTTTTGTGTGTTTTTGGGCCAGCGCTTTCACAATTACAACCCTGACAGACACAAACAGCCTCCTGAACCCGTATGGTGAGGCCACGAGCCACACATGAGAGGAGCCCAGCTCAGACTCTGAGGCCTAAGAGCTGATGAGGCCAGGGCGCTGGAGTGGGACTGCCTCTGCCTTGGTTCCACTCTGTCAGGTCTGCACTGTCAGCCTGGGCCAGAGACCAGAGGCCAGTAATGACAGCGTGGGATTATCTGGGGTGTATTCATTAGTTGCAGACCATTGCAAAATGTTTGGTCTGTTGCTAAATGTTTTGCAACGGAAACCATTTACCGTTTGCTAACAGAAGCAAACAGATTTAAAATGGAACGAAACGGGGAGGGACGTACCTGTTTTTGTCCAATAGAAACTCAAAAAGTGTTCTGTTTGGTGTAAACTGTTTCCTTTGCAAAACGTTTTGCAACAGACCAAACATTTTGCAAAGATCTGCGACTAATGAATACACCCCTGCTCTCTCTTTTTCTCTCTCATACACCACTATCAATTTTTTTCCTTCTTTCTGTCTCTGTGAGAAGTATGTTCCCTGTGGTATATGGGGAGCTGTGAAATGATCACTGTCTGGGTGTCTGTCTCCTGGTCGTGGCAGCTGAGGGGAGGGGTAGATAAGAGGAAAGGGGGGGGTTATTTCCAGCTCAAACGTCATTATCTCTCCTCCGCTTCTTTGAATGAAGAACCTTCCTCAGGGAGAGAATATTTTAAAGCAACTTCTCTCATTCTTCTACAGTTTCTCTCTATGTTATTTTCTCTGGATTAGCTATTCAGGTTTGGGGTGATTTCTATTTTATTTATTTAGCTAAAGTCACAGTCTGGTCCTGGCTCGTCAGACAGGCTAACGAGTGATTAAGCTCTCTCCTTTTCCCTCCCTCCCTCCCTCAGGTGTGTTTGTGTGGTACCAGGCTTTGTGTTTGTTCACTCTCTCACCTGACACTCTCTCACCTCCCTCTGATCACAGCCTGATTTGATTTACTTTATTCACAAGGTGATTTTTAACCTCCTCAAACTTCTGACACCTTTATCAGCGCCAGGATAACACACATTAAGCAAATGTGCCATGTTTGTGTGTCCCAGATTTGAAGAGTTTAAAGATGGTGGTGGATTTGAATCAAATATGCTCCAGGCCTGTGTCTTGTAATTCACGTGTGTCCCTCCATAACCACCACCACCTCTGTGTGTGTGCTTCGTTACACTAGGTAGACATGTATTAGTAGTGGCACTCTGCTGTAATTCTGGCACAAACATTATGTAGTTTCAGGGCAGAGTATTTCTCATGACACCCGTTTATAGACCAGTGAACCAGACACAGCTCTGGTTTTACTATTCCTGGATGCATTATGCCAAATACCTTATGGTTATAAAGAAATTACTTACTGTGAAGTTATTTCTAAATAAGCGTGTGTAGAAAGCCCATAAAACCACCCAATCCTTTTCCACACAATACCAGAGATGCACTTTAGTGGAGAGGTTTGGGGTGAACTGGAGGGAGAGTGTGTGCATGTGTAGGAGGGAAAGTGTGTGGTCGTGTGTAGGAGGGAAAGTGTGTGGTCGTGTGTAGGAGGGAAAGTGTGTGGTCGTGTGTAGGAGGGAGAGTGTGTGGTCGTGTGTAGGAGGGAGAGTGTGTGGTCGTGTGTAGGAGGGAGAGTATGGTAGTGTGTAGGAGGGAGAGTGTGTGGTCGTGTGTAGGAGGGAGAGTGTGTGGTCGTGTGTAGGAGGGAGAGTGTGTGGTCGTGTGTAGGAGGGAGAGTGTGTGGTAGTGTGTAGGAGGGAGAGTGTGTGGTAGTGTGTAGGAGGGAGAGTGTGTGGTAGTGTGTAGGAGGGAGAGTGTGTGGTAGTGTGTAGGAGGGAGAGTGTGTGGTAGTGTGTAGGAGGGAGAGTGTGTGGTAGTGTGTAGGAGGGAGAGTTTGTGGTCGTGTGTAGGAGGGAAAGTGTGTGGTAGTGTATAGGAGGGAGAGTGTGTGGTTATGTGTAGGAGGGAGAGCGTGTGGTAGTGTGTAGGAGGGAGAGCGTGTGGTAGTGTGTAGGAGGGAGAGTGTGTGGTAGTGTGTAGGAGGGACAGTGTGTGGTAGTGTGTAGGAGGGAAAGTGTCTGGTAGTGTGTAGGAGGGAAAGTGTGTGGTAGTGTGTAGGAGGGAGAGTGTGTGGTAGTGTGTAGGAGGGAGAGTGTGTGGTAGTGTGTAGGAGGGAGAGTGTGTGGTAGTGTGTAGGAGGGAAAGTGTGTGGTAGTGTGTAGGAGGGAAAGTGTATGGTCGTGTGTAGGAGGGATAGTGTGTGGTCGTGTGTAGGAGGAAAAGTGTCTGGTCGTGTGTAGGAGGGAAAGTGTGTGGTTGTGTGTAGGAGGGAGAGTGTGTGGTCGTGTGTAGGAGGAAAAGTGTCTGGTCGTGTGTGCGTCCGTGCGTGTGTGTATGTGTTGGCCTGTTTCTACAGCTGCTCCTCCTGGAGAGTCTCTCAAGGTCAGGCAGCAGGGGCCTACAGCAGTGGCAGCCTCTACATCTCTCCCTTTCTCTCTCCCTCTGTCTCGACCTCCCATTTCCTCTCCATAAGCCAAAACGCTGTGCTCTCTATTCTACAGTCTCCCTCCTACTGTGTCTTTCCTCTATCATGGCAGATTATGAATGAGACCCCGTGTGTTCCTCCTGTCTGGGCTGGCTGTACTGAGGACCAGACGTTACTAACACAGCAGCCCAAGGTGGAGGAGTGAGGGGTCAGAGCGGTCAGGCAGATGCTAACCCAACCCAGCACACTTCATGTCATGTCCATACAGCTGGGTCACTAACTCCCTTGGTGTAGAATCCAGCTTCAAAGTATTATGGGATGGTTGGTTGATTTACCTGCCTGGCTCTCAGGGTGTGTTGTGCTGTGTCTCTCCCAGGGTGAGCAGGGACAGGGTGGAGGCAGCCAACAGCTGTCTTATCATCTCAGCCGTAGGCAGGGCCTCATCATGGCCTCTCTCTTTGAGGAGCATTTGACCCTGACATCACACACAACACTGTTCTGATTGCCCCATACAGACTGAGGACTTTGTGCACCTGATGGTTCTACTTATCTTCTGATCAGACCACTGAGAGGGATGGGATGGGTGGGGTTCAGCTCAATGGTGTAGCTGGGCTGGGGCTGACTGACTGTGTTCTATCTTTGTCATACTGCATGTGAGAAGAACTGAATGCCCTCGTCTCAACTCCATTGTCTTTGCATTGATGCGAAAAATTGAAAAGCACAGAGTGTCTCTGATTTACTGTGTTGTTTCTGCAGGACACAGAGAGCGAGAGCCTTGGCGAGCGAGAGAGAATCAAGTCACAGATCCGGGAGCTGCGCAGCCACCAGACGCAGCAGGGCAGAGAGCTGCAGAGGACAGGTGAGCAATGTCAAAGACCATCTGAATGAGTGGTTGACTGTTCCTTTCCCCTAAGCCAGTCCATAGGTCCAACACACACACACGCACACACACACGCACACACACACACACACACACACACACAGGCACACTCAGACACACAGTTTATTTGCTTCCTGCCATTTAAATCTCTGTTTTATATATGGCATGCTTTTATGATCATGTTTGCATTAGCTTAAGGGTCAAGTTTGGATAGGCAATTATACTTAAACATAACATTGATTCAAATATTGCCGGTATTTCCACACATATGCACTTAGATGCAATTTCCTCTGGCCTGCTAGTGAAAATAGCCAGCCAATAGAGCCATTCTGCTGTAGGGGAGGGGAGGGAAGGGGAGGGGAGTGGAGCTGAGGCGGTCGGTCACATTGGTTTAGATTTTGTTTAGCTCCTCCTCTTTATTTTCAGGTTAGAGGCACCACAGTCATGGGACTAACACTCTGGTTTTGGGTGTGAGTCATTTCATTAACCACTGTTAACAAACACAGTGAATGCTTTACTATAGGTGTGCTATCTTCATCCATGACCTTTTGACTTGTACACCCACTCCCAAAGTGATTTAATTCAAATGTTTAAATGAGAAAGGACCGGTAAAGGGCTAGAGTGAAAGAGCAAGATATAGGAGAGAAGAATAGCTGAAAGAAGCATGCAGTAGAATAGAGAATTTGTTTACGGCCATACAGATTTGAATGCCTGAATCTAAAGTGAGTAAGTATTTGTTGAACAAATATACCCGCCTCTAATATGTTTTTGTTGTTGTTGCTGAAAGGTCAGTCTTTTTCTTATCGGGGCATCCACCTCAATGTTGTCCTGAACCTGGCTGGTCCCTGGCTGGGTCCTTTGATCATAATTAAATCATGGTGTGTATCCCAAATAGCACCCTATTGCATATATTGTGTACTACTTTTGACTAGAGCCATATGAGGCTATGAGAATAGGGTGCCATTTGGGACGCACCCCGTGTGGTCTGGCCTGCCCTTGGACCTCAGCACCCCACTCATCAGCCAGCGTCTGGTAGTAGTGGGGTTATGAGACGGAACAGGAATATCACCTGTTCAAGGAGGAACCCACAGCCTAGTGATACCTCTGCTATTTAAAGCACATACCAGAACTAGAACAGAATCCTTTCTTGACATGGACCAGAAGCTCCCTGCTCTGCCCTCGCCCTGCAATTTGGTCCGGGGTGAAATCAGGGCTAGCAGCCGGCAGGAGCAGACCTCCACAGAGCAGAGGGATTGAGGGTAGGAGCTGTTTGAAATGGACGCCGATACACAAAGACACAGGAAGTTAGTGGCTGGGAACAGACAGGATAGGGTGGGGTGGGTTTGGCCAGGGGCAAGGGGGGTGAGATGTCCTTTTTAACAGAGAAGGAGAGAAGTGGCTAGAAAGAGAGGACTAAACTTTGAAGATTAGGGGTGTACTATGGCACACTGGCTGCCACACACACACACACACACACCACTCTCTCCCTTTTCACACACACCTCTCTCTCCCTTTTCACACACACACACCTCTCTCCCTTTTCATACACACACACTCTCATGCTTAAATATACAGCTGCATGTCTTGCACACGTATACATGCTCACAGTCCACAGTGTTGGTGACAAGGCTGTGATTTAGGAAATTACCCGTTTGAGAGACAGAGCACATTCCACTGAGCCACTTTGAGTGACAGGGAGCCAGACTCCTCAAATTTGAACTTGACACTGAAAAGACCGCTTTTGTTGTTGTTGCTATTTAGTTTTTTGTGTTCGTTAAGAAGGGTTAGGGGAGGGGGGGCTCTCTGCATTATTCACTAGTGTGGTTATTTAAAACCATCCTCTCATTATCCAAGAGTAGTAGGGGTTTTCCCAGAAACCCTCACAACAGGGCACAATGGACTGGACACAATGATGTACAAACATCATCCCTTTAACTATAGTTATCTTTTAATTGGAGTTGACTGGGGCCTTCATTAGATCACGTGGTCTATTTTATAGGGCCTCGTGTGAGAAAGGCAGCCATGTTGTGATTTTCGAAGTGAATGCATATAATACACAGTCTATAACTATTTCATCAACTAATCAAGTGAACTTCATCCTGCCCCTGGCTCTGAGAGGCCTTCAGAGGGACTTGAAAAGGCTGCTGAGGCTGTGGCTGTCTTAAACCAGAATGGTGCTTTCCCACACTGATTTGGTTTGTAAATGACACACCTGCACGCTTTGTGAACTCTGTTTGAATAGGACACATAACTAGGGTATGCAGAGATGTGTTATCATACAATGATGTGTCTCTCCCTGTACAGCCCCCAGAGTTAGGCACTGAGCAGTGAGCACCACAGGGTGAGGGGTAGATTGAGAGAGGGAGAGAGAGAGACGGGGCGAGAGACTCTGGCTCTAGGAGGGGGAGGATGTGGGCATTGCAGCGTTGTTTGGAGTGTGGTTTCCTGATGAGAGGAGGAGGAATGAAGGAGGTTGGATACGGACCGGGGGAGGGGAAGTACTTGTCCTAGTCTCTATTTCACCCCCACTTCCCCCTACACTTCCTACTGCTCGGTTACCACCTACTGTTATGGCGCTTTCTCTCTCACATACACATACACACACACACACACGTAGACATCTGGTCCAGGAATTGAGTCAGGCCTGAAGGAAATGCCTACAATCCCTTATGTCTCCACGTGACCCCTCTCGTTTCCCCAGTGACGCTCACACGTCTCTCCCTCTGTGCTCTTGGGGATTTGGCGTCTGCAGAAACCTTTCATATCCATCAGCAGTCCACAAGTTCTCCAGCAACCAACCGCTCACGTGACCCCACATTCCATATTTTTTATGTTCGGTCAGAGAATTGTACAGAGCAGAGTTGTATTTCCATGGTGTTCCTCTGCACTATACTAGATATAATCATGGGTATGTTCCACTGTGTTCCACTCACTGTATTGTGGTGGTTGTGTTCCGTAGGCTCCAACTCAGGCATGGTTCTGGTTCTGGACCCCCTGGTGAGGGAGGAGGTCTCGGGGCCTCTGCTGACCCGCCCAAAGATCTGGGACCCTGTGACATCATCAGAGCTGGACGTGGTCCTGTCCCACAGCCAGCGCTCTGACTCGACAGCCTCGGACCGCAGCCAGGCCTCCAGGCCCCGTCTGGACTCTGGAGCCTCAGAGAAGAGCCTAGGTCTGGGCTCAGCCTTCCGGACCAGGGTGGACTCAGGAGCGTCAGAAAAGAGCCTAGGTCTGGGCTCAGCCTTCCGGACCAGGGTGGACTCAGGAGCGTCAGAAAAGAGCCTGGGTCTGGGCTCAGCCTTCCGGACCAGGGTGGACTCAGGAGCGTCAGAAAAGAGCCTGGGTCTGGGCTCAGCCTTCAGGACCAGGGTGGACTCGGGAGCATCAGACAGAAGCCAGTGTTCAGTCCACAGAGGCAGATTGGACTCTGGGGCTTCCGAGTCCCGCATCAGACCGAGACTGGACTCTGGCACGTCAGACTCCAGCGTGGGACCACCAGCCCCTTTAGGCTCTGAGACCTCTGACAGCGCGGGGCTGCTGTCACGGAAACGGCTGGACTCTGGGACGTCTGACCTGAGCGTGAGTGTGTCTTCTGTGGGACGGGGCCGAGTGGAGGAGCCAGAGGTGACCATGAGTAGCTCCTCCTCCAGCACAGACTCAGAGGCTGAGAGCACCAACCACCTTTCAGCCCAACCCCGCCTAGACCGCTCCTCTACCAACCGTGATCAGCCTGATCGGGCCGTCCTATCCAGAAAAGCCTCAGGCTCCCACAGTGGCCTGCTCAATGGCAGTTCCAAGGGGAGAGGAGACATCCAGGAACAGAAGGTACAGTCTTGTTTAATCTTCCTGGGTGATGCTTGCTGGTATGATCTGCTGTGTCTTGAGGTAGAACATTAGAATATGTAGGTTATCACACCACTAGATGGGGATGTTGAGCAATTATAATGAGGCTACAATGTTCGCGCACTCTCCTAGTGTCCCTCTCCTGCACCTCTCTGATTCAGAGGGGTTGTGTTAAATGCGGAAGACACATTTCAGTTGAATGCATTCAGGTGTGTGACTGACTAGGTATCCCGTTTCCCTTCTCTTTCCCTCCATCCCTCCCTCTATTTTGAAACACTAGTTCTCGGCACCTTTGTCACGGCAGCAGCTACAGTGGGGGAAAAAAGTATTTAGTCAGCCACCAATTGTGCAAGTTCTCCCACTTAAAAAGATGAGAGAGGCCTGTAATTTTCATCATAGGTACACGTCAACTATGACAGACAAAATGAGGGGAAAAAATCCAGAAAATCACATTGTAGGATTTTTAATGAATTTATTTGCAAATTATGGTGGAACATAAGTATTTGGTCAATAACAAAAGTTTCTCAATACTTTGTTATATACCCTTTGTTGGCAATGACACAGGTCAAACGTTTTCTGAAAGTCTTCACAAGGTTTTCACACACTGTTGCTGGTATTTTGGCCCATTCCTCCATGCAGATCTCCTCTAGAGCAGTGATGTTTTGGGACTGTCGCTGGGCAACACAGACTTTCAACTCCCTCCAAAGCTTTTCTATGGGGTTGAGATCTGGAGACTGGCTAGGCCACTCCAGGACCTTGAAATGCTTCTTACGAAGCCACTCCTTCGTTGCCCGGGCGGTGTGTTTGGGATCATTGTCATGCTGAAAGACCCAGCCACGTTTCATCTTCAATGCCCTTGCTGATGGAAGGAGGTTTTCACTAAAAATCTCACGATACATGGCCCCATTCATTCTTTCCTTTACACGGATCAGTCGTCCTGGTCCCTTTGCAGAAAAACAGCCCCAAAGCATGATGTTTCCACCCCCATGCTTCACAGTAGGTATGGTGTTCTTTGGATGCAACTCAGCATTCTTTGTCCTCCAAACACGACGAGTTGAGTTTTTACCAAAAAGTTATATTTTGGTTTCATCTGACATTCTCCCAATCCTCTTCTGGATCATCCAAATGCACTCTAGCAAACTTCAGACAGGCCTGGACATGTACTGGCTTAAGCAGGGGGACACGTCTGGCACTGCAGGATTTGAGTCCCTGGCGGCGTAGTGTGTTACTGATGGTAGGCTTTGTTACTTTGGTCCCAGCTCTCTGCAGGTCATTCACTAGGTCCCCCCGTGTGGTTCTGGGATTTTTGCTCACCGTTCTTGTGATCATTTTGACCCCACGGGGTGAGATCTTGCGTGGAGCCCCAGATCGAGGGAGATTATCAGTGGTCTTGTATGTCTTCCATTTCCTAATAATTGCTCCCACAGTTGATTTCTTCAAACCAAGCTGCTTACCTATTGCAGATTCAGTCTTCCCAGCCTGGTGCAGGTCTACAATTTTGTTTCTGGTGTCCTTTGACAGCTCTTTGGTCTTGGCCATAGTGGAGTTTGGAGTGTGACTGTTTGAGGTTGTGGACAGGTGTCTTTTATACTGATAACAAGTTCAAACAGGTGCCATTTATACAGGTAACGAGTGGAGGACAGAGGAGCCTCTTAAAGAAGAAGTTACAGGTCTGTGAGAGCCAGAAATCTTGCTTGTTTGTAGGTGACCAAATACTTATTTTCCGCCATAATTTGCAAATAAATTCATAAAAAATCCTACAATGTGATTTTCTGGATTTTTTTCTTCTCAATTTGTCTGTCATAGTTGACATGTACCTATGATGAAAATTACAGGCCTCTCTCATCTTTTTAAGTGGGAGAACTTGCACAATTGGTGGCTGAATACTTTTTTCCCCCACTGTATAAACATCTCATCTTTCTCTGTATGTCTTTTAATAGCTTTGTTAAACTATGGTTAATTGGCTACACAAATAAACTCAGCACCTCAGAGCCGGGCCCAAGTCCTTTGTTGTGCACAGCTGGTTCTGGTTCCCCTCAGATCTCTGTCTCCCTCACCTGCTGTCAGAGGGAGAGCCGCTGGGGCTGGCCAGCAACAGCCAAACACACAGGCAGTAGAATATTGTTTGCTCAACGCCCTCATCAGGGACTTGGTCACCATGACACCACGTCGTCATCCTTATCGGGAGTGTTTACCCAACACAGGCTACAGGCTCTTTTATAGAGCCCTGCAATATAATATGCTTGTGTTCCGTATGTTTACATTACACTGGAGGTTCAGGCACATCGTGGCCCCATGGCCCCTTGATCAGCCAAAAAAAGAACAGAGACACAAACTTGTCTCCCTCGCTCTAAACACTGTTACATAATGCAAACACTACCCTGGTCACCTGTATGTGTGTTCACGTGGATGTCACCGTGACAAGTCTGATCCTCCCTGCCCCAAGTGCCTTGCCATCCCATTGATCTGCACTATTGCCCTGTGATGCTTTACTGTGTTCCATTTTATTCTAAACTATTTCTCTCTCTCTCTCATTTTCAGGTCAGAGATACTTTATTCACTACTCTCAGCAAAGCAAAGGATGCAGGTGAGCATGTTTACAGATACAAACCTTATCTTTGTGTGTGTGTACAGTGCCTTTAGAAAGTATTCATACCCCTTGACTTAATTGACAATTTGTTGTTACAACCTGAATTCAAAATGGATTAATAGATGTTATGGTCATCCATCTACACACAATAACCCCTAATGACAAAATGAAAACATTTTTTTAGAAATATTTGCTTATTAAAAATGAAATACAGAAATATCTCATTTACATAAGTATTCACACCCCTTTGCTATGACGCATCCAATTTCCTTTGATCATCCTTGAGATGTCACTACAACTTGATTGGAGTCCACCTGTGGCCAATTCAATTGTTTGGACATGATTTAGAAAGAAAACACCTGTCTCTATAATGTCCCACTGTTGACAGTGCATGTCAGAGCAGAAACTATACCATGAAGTCCAAGGAACTGTCTGTAGATCTCAGAGATAGAATTGTGATGAGGCATATATCTGGGGAAGGGTATAAATCAATTTCTAGAGTGTTGAAAGTTTCCAAGAGCACAGTGGTGTCCGTCATTGGAAAATGGAAAAGATATGGAGCTACCAGACTCTGCCTAGAGCTGGCCATCCGACCAAACTGAGCAACCGGGCAAGAAGGACCTTGGTCAGTGAGGTGACCAAGAACCCAATGACCACTGTTGGAGTCAGTTTCTATATTTCTTTGGTTATGCAAATATTTGTTTATTATACAACGGGTGGGTCTAATCCTGAATGCTGATTGGTTAAAACCGCATTCCAGCCGGGGTCTATTCCACAAGTTACCACCAGCTAAATCTATGACGTTAAAATGCCTATTTACTCTGTTCGATCTGACTGCGCAATCCACTGTCTCGTCAGCCCAGCCAGGCAATTTATTAACTTGATCTCAACTATAAAAAGCATTTAGACATTCTCACATTTCTTTTAGACTAACATTTAGTTTTCAACAGCGGAGATTTGTATAAACCTTGCTGTCTGTCCCTCCGACATTTGCAACATTGTTTCAATATTCTAATTTGATCTCCAGCTGTCGCATAGTAGTAATAAACGTGTCGGGATGAGACAGACAGGCAGCTTTTCTCAGCCAGTGGAAATCATGAATCTGCATCATTTTTATGGATATATACAAATAAATATCAATAGAAAACAGGTTAAATGAAACAAAGTGCAGCTAGTTTGCAGTCTTTCCATCTTCAGTTTGATGTGATTGTGTTAGCTGTGCTGTTGGGTAGCTCCTCTGAACAACAGTGTCCTGAGGAGAGAGCACATTTTCTATGCCAGATGAAATCACGCCTCATTAGCTCATTGTTATGGATGTATCCAAATAAATGTCACTAGAAAACGGCTTATGCAAATGCAGCTACTTTGTTGTTATTCTGGCTGCACTGTTTGACGTGACTGTAAGTTATCCGTAGTTGGCTAGCTAGCGAGGGATAAGAACGTTGCCAGCCAGTATGGCAATAGAACATTTAGAATGAACGGTTGGGTCGCGTCCATAGATACAGAACAAAAAGACTGAACGACTGGGTTGCCTCTCTGGCAACCGAACCGATAGAACGAATGACTAGCCGGCTTGGTTAGCAACCCTAGATTTGTGTCAGGACTGTATCTTGTGGAAGGATGAAATAGTATGAATAAATTCATTAAAATAACATTTTTAATGAAAATATGTAAATCATTATTTGAATATGTTGGAAACCCGTTGTATAAAAGTGATAATGGCCCCGTGTAGCTCAGTTGGTAGAGCATGGCGCTTGCAACGCCAGGGTTGTGGGTTCGTTCCCCACGGGGGGCTAGTATGAAAGTATGTATGCACTCACTAACTGTAAGTCGCTCTGGATAAGAGCGTCTGCTAAATGACTAAAATCTAAAAATGTTTTTAAAATAATGCCCTCGAAGCTGGTGTTTGGAGGATATATACCTTCATACGATGCCACCTTTCCAAGAAGTCAGTTCGTAAAATTTCTTCCCTGCTAGAGCTGCCCTGGTCAACTGTAAGTGCTGTTATTATGAAGTGGAAACGTCTAGGAGCAACAATGACTCAGCCGCGAAGTGGTAGGCCACACAAGCTCACAGAATGGGACCGGCAAGTGCTGAAGCACGTAGCGCATAAAAATTGTTTGTCCTCGGTTGCAACACTCACTACCAGGTTCCAAACTGCTCATCGGGATCTTCATGAAATGGGTTTCCGTGGCCAAGCAGCCGCAAACAAGCCTAAGATCACCATGCGCAATGCCAAGCGTCGGCTAGAGCAGTGGTTCCCAACCTGGGGCTAGAGTTCACAGGGGGGGCGCGTGATCTCATTTGCTTTGAGGTCAAACATGCATAAAATGTTCCACTATAATTTAATTGTAAAATTAATACATTGTAAAATGTTATTAAAAATCATATGCTTGCAATGCCAAGGCCAATCTAAACAATAATAATAATAATGGCAGAGAAACTTAAAAGCGGTAATTCCCCGGAAAAATTTTTTGCACGTCAATGACCCGCGCTCAAACAGTTTCAGCTATCAGCTCGTTTTTCCTGCAGTCAGAGCATCACTATTTTATGAATAAAACAACATGTCTAAGAAACATAAAAGTGCTGATGACTCATCATCAAAAAAGAAAGTAAGGCTATATCTCGAGAGTTATCTTAACTTCGGTTTTATTGAAGGACTCGGCCAGAATGTGTCATTTGTGGCGAGAAGCTAGCTAATGACAGCATGAAGCCAAGCAAAATGCAACGACACCAGGAAACAAAACACCAGGAGACAATTGGTGAAGGTCAGGATTTTTTTGAGAGGAAGAAGCAGGTGGCACTATCAAAAAGATCCACAGACATCAGAAAAGCATTTGAAAGAGCAGGCAGTGATTTACACAGAGCCACGGAGGCATCATTTGATTGTTCGCTATTAATTGCCAAGGCTAAAAAGCCGCACAATTCTGGAGAGCAGCTAATCAAATTTTTATAGCTATGGACTCGTATCTCTCGTCCAACAATCTGCCTTATGAGAATATTGTTGCATGCTGCACTGATGGGGCTGCAGCGTTGATGGGCAAAAACAAGGGATTTAACAGCCGATTTAAGGAAAAAGCCCCAGGGTGCGCAATTTTCCACTGCATGCTACATCGCCAAGCATTGACCAGTAAAACACTTTTGGAAGACCTTAGTAACACGTTGGCAACTGTTAAAGTTGTAAACTTCATTAAGGCTCGCCCTACTAACAAGAGACTGTTTGCCCAGCTGTGTGAGGATGAAGCGCATCAAACACTGCTGTTACACACAGAGATACACTGGTTGTCACGTGGACAAGTGCTTGTGCGTTTTATAGAACTGCAGGAAAAAATAAAGGAATTCTTGCAAGATCACAATCGACCACTGTGCGAACAGCTGGCTGATGCATTCACTCTCTACAATGAGACAAACAAGAGGATGCAGGGTCCTGAATCAAACATCATGCAGTGCAAAGACGCTCTCGTCGCTTTTGTGCGGAAACTGAAGTACAGAGTTGGAAAAATGTCAAAAGGGGAGCTACAACAATTTCCACTGCTGATGAAACTGCTGATGAAATTTCCACTGTGCCTGCGTCTTTACGCACTGAGTTTACCCGGCACATGAACATGCTTTGGGAGGAAATTAAATCCTGTTTTGCCGATGTTGCCGAATACTTATCAAAGGAATCGTGGGTGATGGACCATTACATTTGCAGTCTTGAGGACGTGGAATACCTCGGCTGTGAAGATGAGCTTGCTGACCTTCAAGCCGATTCTGTGTCAAATACATATTTCCACGAGAACGGATACAAAAAGTTTGGGATTGTCAAAGGACACGCTGTTGCACCCAGACTGGCCAAACACGCAGCTACAACGGTTATTCTACCATCGAATCTGGGTTTGGCTGTTGCCAGGAGAATGCTACCTGCCCGAATGCATAGTGCCAACTGTAAAGTTTGGTGGAGGAGGAATAATGGTCTGGGGCTGTTTTTCATGGTTCGGGCTAGGTCCCTTAGTTCCAGTGAAGGGAAATCTTAACGCTACAGCATACAATGACATTCTAGACGATTCTGTGCTTCCAACTTTGTGGCAACAGTTTGGGGAAGGCCCTTTCCTGTTTCAGCAAGAAACCCTGTGCACAAAGCGAGGTCCATATAGAAATGGTTAGTCGAGATCGGTGTGGAAAAACTTGACTGGCCTGCCCCGAGCCCTGACCTCAACCCCATCAAACACCTTTGGGATGAATTGGAATGCCGACTGCGAGCCAGGCCTAATCGCCCAACATCAGTGCCCGACCTCATTAATGCTCTTGTGGCTGAATGGAAGCAAGTCCCTGCAACAATGTTCCAACATCTAGTGGAAAGCCTTCCCATAAGAGTGGAGGCTGTTATAGCAGCAAAGGGGGGACCAACTTCATATTAATGCCCATGATTTTGGAATGAGATGTTCGATGAGCAGGTATCCAAATATATTTGGCTGTGTAGTGTAGGTTAATTGGGTATTTAGAGACAGAAAGCCGCTACAACCACTCTGACAGAATTAGAGTTTCTTGGCTGAGATGGGAAAACCTGCCAGAAGGACAAACTCGATCCTGGGACCCCCTTGGTTGCACATTTTGTTTTTTGCCCTAGCATTTCACAGCTGATTCTAATAATCAAAGCTTGATGATGACTTGGTTTGGCAAAAACCAAAACGTGCACCCAGGGGGTGCCCCAGGACCGAGTTTGGTGAAGTGCTGTAAAGCAGATTTTCCCAATCTGGGAGAGTGGCCAGATGGAAGCCACTCTTGAGAAAAAGGCCCATGACAGCACACCTGGAGTTTGCAAAAAGGCACGTGAAAGACTGAGAGCATAAGGAAAAAGATGATGTGGTCTGATGAGACAAAAAATTTACTTTTGGGTCTGAATGCAAAGCGCTATGTCTGGAGAAAACCAGGCACAGCTCATCACCCATCTAACACCATCCCTACCGTGAAGCATGGTGGTGGCAGCATCATGCTATGGGGATGCTTTTCAGTGGTAGGTACTGGGAGACTGGTAAGGATAGAGGGAACAATGAATGGAACCAAATACAGGCAAATCCTTGATGTGAACCTGCTTCAGCGTGCAAACGACCATAGACTGAGGCAAAGATTTACGTTCCAACAGGACAATGACCCTAAGCATACAGCCAAAGCAACGCTGGAATGGCTTCAGAACAAGAATGTGGAAGACCTTGAGTGGCCCAGCCAAAGCCCAGACTTGAATCCCATTGAAAATCTGTGGAGAGACTTGAAAATTGCTGTTCACCGCCGCTCCCCATCTAATTTAACAGAGCTTGAGAAAATCTGCAAGGAAGAATGGAAGAAAATCCCCAAAGCTGATACAGACATACTCAAGATGACTCAAAGCTGTAATCGACGCCAAAGGTGCTTCTACAAAGTATTGACTCAGGTGTGAATACTTATGTAAATGAGATACTTCTGTATTTCATTTTCAATACATTTGCAACAATTTCTAAAAACATGTTTTTACTTTGTCATTATGGGTTATTATGTGTAGATGGGCGAGATATTTTTGTAAAAAAAATCCATTTTGAATTCGGGCTGTAACGCAACAAAATGTTGAATAATCAAGCGGTATGAATACTTTCTGAAGGCACTGCAAGCACTTACGGGTCATGGATTTTTTTGTCCTGTATACTTTGTAAATGAATAATAAGGGTGAAAATGATGGATAATGTGCACAATTATCGATATATTTTATACTAGTTATCATACAAATAATTATTTAAAGCTGTAATATGTACACTGAAAAAATATATAAACGCAACATGTTGGTCTCATGTTTCATGAGATGAAAAAAAAAATCCAGAAATGTTCCATACGCACAAAAAGCTTATTTCTCTCAAATTGTGTGCACAAATTTGTTTACATCCCTGTTAGTGAGCATTTATCCTTTGCCAAGATAATCCATCCACCTGACAGGTGTGACATATCAAGAATCTGATTAAACAGCATGAACATTACACAGGTGCACCTTGTCCTGGGGACAATAAAAGGCCACTCTAAAATGTGCAGTTTTGTCACACAACACAATGCCACAGATGTCTCAAGTTTTGAGGGAGCGTGCAATTGACATGCTGACTGCAGGAATGTCCACCAGAGCTTTTGGCATAGAGTTGAATGTTAATTTCTCTACCATAAGAAGCCTCCAACGTTGTTTTAGAGAATTTGGCAAGACATCCAACCGGCCTCACAACCGCAGACCACGTGTAACCACGCCAGCCTGTGGGGGGTGGGGGGTCTGAGGAGTATTTCTGTCTGTAATAAAGCCCTTTGTGGTGACAATCTCATTCTGATTGGCTGGGCCTGGCTTCCCAGTGGGTGGGCCTGGCTGCCAAGTGGGTGGGCCTATGCCCTCCAAAGGCCCACCCATGGCTGCACCCATGCCCAGTCATGTGAAATCCATATATTAGGGCCTAATGAATTTATTTCAATTGACTGATTTCCTTATATGAACTGTAACGCAGTAAACTCTTTGAAATTGTTGCATGTTGTGTTTATATTTTTGTTCGTATAACTTTTTCAGTGACTTGACCAAATTCACATAGAAATGTGTGTTATATATCTGTCATTCTCATCGAAAGCAAGTCTAAGAAGCGGTAGATCTGTTCTATGTGCGCTATTTCTATACTTCCCGTTCTTACGTTTTGTTTTTATGTCTTTTAATTTTGGCTTTGTACACCAGCTTCAATCAGCTGAAAATACAACATTTTTGGTTATAGAAAATATATTTCACAGCGGTTTAGATGGTACAATGATTCTCTACACTATACTTGCTTGTTTTGTCACATAAACTGAAATTAAGCGAACTATTAGAATATTAGCCACCAGGAAATGGCAGAGCGATTTCTGCGTAGTGCGTCTTTAAAATATTTCTGAGATATGTGATTTAGTTGTTTATTTTTTCAAGCCTAAATGGTCAACAATGTTTTTTGTGTGTGTACTCCTATCATTTATTGGACTGTACAAAATGTTCTGTACATTGTGTCCAGTAAAAGTGGTGTCCATTCTACTCAGGAGCACTTGTAGTTTCCAAATCCACAGAATTTACACCCCAATCAATCATCGCTGCTAATGTTGTGTCCCTTATAGCCCCCATGCAGTCTTTTTAACTGTATTTTTAAATCATCACTCTGTCTAATAGATAACTGTGTTTATTTAATGAAAATAATTCAAATATACATTTTTTAATCATTTATTTCCCTGAGCCTCTTTTGGCCATTGGAATGCTCCGTCTGATCATATGGGCGTTAGGTCAGATATTTACATACACAGCCCTGACTTTGTCATTATGGGATGTTGTTTGTAGATGACAAAATGTGGAGTAAGTCAAGGGGTATGACATACTTTCTGAAGGCACTATAGATGTAATAACCTGACATTTAAAGTGGGAGCCAGACCGGATGTGTGCCTCATTACTTGTGCTTTACTGTTCAACTCCACCGGCAGTGTTGATAACATCACACCAGAGGACCTGTGAGCTGGAAGCCCTTAGTGCTGCTGAGTTATAGCTGTTCCTCTAATATCAAGACGTCCTGCTCCCTAACTCCTACAGTTGAATGGCTTCCATTTCGAAGGAGCCTTGCAGGGCCAGCATGGCCGTATAGGGCCTGTCATACAGGGGAAGGTGTGAGGTGCACCGCTAGAGGACTGGATAGAGATACGAGTGCACAGGGTCATCTATCTGTCTGTGTGTGTGCGCACGTTTGTCTTTAAACTCTCTGTCCCATGTAAACACTGGTCCGTGTCCGCAAATGTTTTGCCTCCATAAGGGAGACGTCGGATTGTACCTTTATCCTCTTATATCCTTCTTTTTTTGTCTTTCGCTCCCTAGCTCTGGGCCCTTCGTTATAATCTCCTCTCTGTGGCCCTAGGCTCCTAAAACGTTGTGATTCTCAAGCACACTAAATCGATATTATTAAGCGGGAGGGAACTGATTCCGTAAATGAGTGGAGCCTTTCCCTGCATGTGATGAAAGCAGACCATCATTCTACTGTACATAAAGGAGCAGGAATCCAGAAACACTCAGGCAACCTAGAAATATAGCAAATCTGTCAGCTTATGGCCAATGCTGACGCACTGAAGGAGAGGGAGAATGAGGGAAGGCGAGGGGGATTGAAGAAAAGGAGGGGGGCTGGAAAAAGGGGGAGAGCGAGAGAGAGAGAGGGAGTTTGAGAGAAGGGAAATAAAATCAAGGGATTTGTAGAGCGCTTTAGGATGAGGAGTGAGGCAGTGAGTGTGCTGCTTTGCGTTCTGGGGATTTTAGTCATATTGCCCCGCTGAAGACTTTGAAATGTTTCCAGTCTTTGTGTGTCAGCTGTACTGGAGGGCTGGGTAATTAACTACTGAGTTTGTATTACTTGACTGTGTCTGTGTTCCTCTGTTCTTTGCTACTGTGTGTAAATCATTTCCACTAACATGTTGTCTGTGTTTTGCAGTGCCTGAGAAGAAGGAGACGGTTGTCTTGGCCCCGTTTGGCCGGGTTAACTCTGTGCGGGACCGTATGCGTAAGTTCACAGAGCCCAGCCCCAGTCCCAGTGACCCGTTCCTGAAGAGGGGCTCTCAGTCTCTGAGGAACGGGACAGCCCCCAGTGCCCGAGTCCTAGGCAGAGCCAACGAGCTGAGTGAGGGGCGAGCAGCAGGGCCAGCCAACCAAACAGCAGGGACCACAGCAGTATCCATCAGCACCCCTACAGACAGGCACGGGAGACCGCATGTAGGTTCTACATCCTACTCTTCATCCTCCTCTTCCTCAGAGAACCTTGTCCAATGCAAGGGCACAATTCAGTCAGGAGGCGTGGCCACCAAAGATCTGCAAACCGCTGCTCAATCCATGAGCACTGTAGGCGGAGCGAAGCAGCCGGCTGAAAAGCTGCTGCACTCCTCGGGCATCTCAAAGGAAGACAAGACCCCAGGGAGCCAGGGAGAGGCAGACCCCGACATGAAGACCTTCCTAACTATCGAGATCAAAGATGGACGCACCATCAGCACCTCCTCCTCCTCCTCTTCCTCTTCCTCTAGAGGCAACCTGGCCTCCATGACCCCCATGGCCCCACGCATCACCACCAACGCCATGGGACAGAGAGCAGGTAGGAGCACTGCCTAATGGATGCTAGATATACTTCTGGTTCCAGATTCTTTATCTTTACAGACCATAGCTTTTGATAGATTTGAGTTAAATCCAAAAACAGAAGTTGATCTATGAAATGATGCGTTACCAGTGGTACCAGGCAGACTGAGTGCCTTGAGCCTACATCAGTCATAGACTTGCCTTTAAATATTTTCTCCCTTTTAAATCTTAGAATAGATCAGCAAACATTACCAGTGGAGCATTTTGGGCCATTTTCCATCCCTCCAGCCCAGTGTACTGCAGCAGATCATAGGCACTGGTTCTGTGTGTGGAGGCAGACAGTGTAGATACTGTGTGTTTCCTGCTCTGTCCCAGCTCCACCTCTGCATGCTAATATCAGCCTTGAGATCCCACTGGAATCCCTGTTGCCTTGGGCCACCAGAGATGCCACAGGGACAGGGGTCAGTCCATAGAAATAGAATGCATTTGTATGGGTAAGTCAGCAGGGCTGAACCCCAGGCTGAGGACAGGGCATGGCCAGAGTTAGGGCCAGGGAGCGTGTGAGTGTGTGGGAGCAGGGGTCTGCTGTGGACATGAGCAGCATTGTCTCTAAAGATGGGCAGGCACGCTGTGTGGAGGTGGAGGGGGAATGGAGGGTGGTATGGGATCAAGAACACACAACAATGGGCAGTTAATGAGTAAACCGTATGATCTTACACCACAATACGCTGTGGTCTCTCTGTTGCATTCCTGCAGAGTTGGCGACATCCACAACAGACTGGTCTGTGTACCACTCTGTAAATGCCATACAAACACTCATACTGTACACTAGTACCCAGGCATACGTTGTAAACACAAACTGTGTTATTGCTGAACTATTGCTAACTTTATCCTACTCCTGAGGGGTATCCTAGAAGCAGGTTTGAGGAGATGGCAAGGTAACGTTAGTCAACTCTCAGTTCAACTCGGGATAACCTGTCATATGAAAGTGGCTAACCTTTTAGCCAGGTAAAATTCTATGGCAGCAAATCCTTCAGAACTAACCTTCTCCAGGGCAGGCTAACTCTCGATTAACTCTGAATGAAATGACTGAGACGCAAGTTGAGGACCAATGAAATCGGATTCCATCCGTCTTGCAAAGAACCCTTCAGGAAGACGACTGATTAAATATTTTATTAATAATGTTAAAATATATCACATTACGCATTTAGTCAACTTCACGCAATGTAACACTTTCGTATGACTTAATACAAATACGTATTGGTAGGAGTGGGGAAAAAGGTGCTTCTGTATTGATAAGCACACCAAAGACGCTATTAACGATAATAATAAGTAATAAAATAAAGACTGCACTTCTAAAAGCTTATTTCACACCATGAATTTGCAAGATAACTTTTCTATCATTTTGTTTTCGGCACAAACTAAAATATGACACGCCCATGGATTGATGTTTCAGTATTATCTCAGTTAAGATTTTCGGTGTTCAACTAGCCATCTGCGACATGCACCTGCAATTACAAGCCTGCTAGTGTTAGCGGCAGGCAGACAAGCAATAGCCACCTTCGTAATACGTACAGTATGAAGTCTGAGCTGGAATGTGAAGCTAACTGAAGCTGTTAGCTTTAGAAAACCCTGAGTATATCTAGCTTACTTCGTAGTATACCCCTCTGGACACCTACTTGTATGTGTCTGTAAATACAGTGTGTGTTTCTGTTCGTCTTTCTGTGTATGTTAGTGTTTTTGTGTGTCTCAGAAGCGGCCTGGTCACAGCTGCTGTGGAAATCTGTCCAAACAACCAGTCTTGTGCTCTAGCACTTTCCAGCCACCAGGACCTCCAACTCAAACAGTTTACTTAAGACCCTGCCTGGAGCAGGATTATTACAGCACCCAGTCAGACTCTGATTACCCCCCTCGCCTGATCTCCCTCCTCCCAGACCCTCTGACAGCTCCACTGGGCTTCTTCAAGAGGCCAGCGTTAAGCCCAATTTTCTCTAATGGCTTTGGGCTCCTTTTTTGGAAGCTCCCTGTCACTGACTGAAGACTGGCTTGGAGAATGTCTTGTGTTCACCCAGCAGCTCCTAACAACAGTCCTGAGTGTACAGTACAGAACACTGGAACGGATCAAACAGGCACTTCTGTTTTACAGCTGTGGTTAAACTGACCTAGCTGCTGTCTTATGTAGTGATTTTTCTGCTATTAAAATCCTCGGGCGAGCTGCCTAAGAGTTTTTCGGGAAGTCTAAGTCCAAACAGTGTAAAAATATATACAGTGCATTCGGAAAGGATTCAGACCCCTTGACTTTTTCCACATTTTGTAACTTTACAGCCTTATTCTAAAATTGATTAAATTAATTGCTTTCCTCATCAATCTACACACAATACCCCATAATGACAAAGCAAAAACAGGTTTTTAGAAATGTTTGCAAATGTATATAAAAAAACAAAACAGAAATACCTTATTTATAGAAGTGTTCAGACCCTTTGCTATGAGACTCGAAATTGAGCTCAGGCGCATCCCGTTTCCATTGATCATCCTTGAGATGTTTCTGCAACTTGATTGGAGTCCACCTGTGATAAATTCAATTAATTGGACATGATTTGGAAAGGCACGCACCTGTCTATATAAGGTCCCACAGTTGACAGTACATGTCAGAGCAAAAACCAAGCCGTGAGGTTGAAGGAATTGTCCGTAGAGCTCCGAGACAGTATTATGTCGATCTGGGGAAGGGTACCCAAAAATGTCTGCAGCATTGAAGGTCCCCAAGAACATTGAAGGTCCCCAAGTGGCCTCCATCATCCTTAAATGGAAGGAGTTTGGAACCACCAAGACTCTTCCTAGCGCTGGCCGCCCGGCCAAACTGAGCAATCGGGGGAGAAGGGCCTTGGTCAGGGAGGTGACCAAGAACCCGATGGTCACTCTGACAGAGCTCCGGAGTTCCTCTGTGGAGATGGGAGAACCTTCCAGAAGGACAACCATCTCTGCAGCACTCCACAAATCAAGCCTTTATGATAGAGTGGCCAGACGGAAGCCACTCCTCAGTAAAAGGCACATGACAGCTTGCTTGGAGTTTGCCAAAAGGCACTTAAAGGACTCTGACCATGAGAAACAAGATTCTCTGGTATGTTGAAACCAAGATTGAACTCTTTGGCCTAAATGCCAAGCGTCACATCTGGAGGAAACCTGGCACCATCCCTACGATGAAGCATGGTGGTGGCAGCATCATGCTGTGGGGATGTTTTTCAGTGGCAGGTACTAGGAGACTAGTCAAGATCGAGGGAAAGATGAACAGAGCAAAGTACAGAGAGGTCCTTGATGAAAACCTGCTCCAGAGTGCTCAGGACATCAGACTGGGGCGAAGGTTCACTTTCCAACAGGACAATGACCCTAAGCACACAGTCAAGGCAACGCAAATCTCTGGAGAGACCTGAAAATAGCTGTGCTGCGACGCTCCCCATCCAACCTGACAGAGCTTGAGAGGATATGCAGAGAATAATGGGAGAAACTCCCCAAAATACAGGTGTGCCAAGCTTGTAGCATCATACCCAGGAAGACTCAAAGCTGTAATCGCTGCCAAAGGTGCTTCAACAAAGTACTGAGTAAAGGGTCTGAATACTTATGTAAATGTATATTTCATTTTTTTTATTTGTAATAGGTTTGCAAACATTTCTAAAAACCAGTTTTTGCTTTGTCATTATGGGGTATTGTGTGTAGATTGAGGAAAAACTATTTAATCCATTTTAGAATAAGGCTGTAACGTAACAAAATGTGGTAAAGGGGTCTGAATACTTTCCGAATGCACTGTGTATGTATATTTTTGAAATACATTTTCAGGATGGAAAACTCTTAATGATCTATATATTGTTCAGTAATATAATCTTTGAGAATCACCAAAATAAAAGCTAGACAGTCAGCGAGAATTGTACATTCCAAAAACAATGAATTTAGCAGTATAGATTTGATTATGTTTGAGCATAGGAACATAGCATTAGCCATGTCAAAATGCATAGAATTGCAGGAAATTAGCTTTAAAACTGCAACATTTTCTCTCCACTCCATGACAAAATGTGTAGAATTGCAGGAAATGTGCTTTAAAACTGAAAAAAATTATCTTAACCTTCTTCGAGAAATTTTGAGAATTGCAGGTAATTGGCTTAAATATTAAAACATTTCTCTACACCGCCAAGGTGGGGGCCTCTATAATGTTCTCCGAAATCCAGTGGCACCGACGGGCGGAACGTGCCCATTGCAACCACCTAAGCCCCTTTTTGATCCAGAAAAAAACCTAATGATGGTCCCCAGCTTAGTGTGTGTGTGTGTTAGTGCACAGGTCACATGAAAATGTATGTGTGCAGAGAAAGATGGAACATGAGTGTTTATATTAGCAGTGACGGGGTCCATAGTGTGACTCACTCATTAGATATGAGACCTTCCTCACTCGTAACTCACTCAATACCATCCTTTATGACACCATTTCAAGTTTTATTTGTCGTATGTACAGGATACACATGGTATACACCGTCCAACAAAATGCTTACTTGTAGGTTCCTTCTCGACAATGCAACAACAATAAGAAATAATAAAAGATAAGAATATGAATATAAAGTGGCTCAGTAGAATATATATTTTTGTTTTGCATAAGTATAAGATGGCACCATGACCGCTTATGTAAGTGAGTGATGGTCCCCTCAAGGACACTCAGAGCCATCCGCACATCATCATGTACAATGTTCAAAAACATATATGCTTAGGGGACTTGAGTCTATTTAACATGTAACTATTTATGGTTAAACACTGGTGGTGTGCTGTGACATTGTTTTATAGAGCTTTTGACACTTCAGCTCCATGTAAGTCTCTCACTGTATGTCTCTCTCTCTCTCCCTGGCAGAGTTGACCATGGGTCTGATAGCGACCCCCTTCAAGATCTCCTCCTCCAGCCTCACTTCCGGATCCTCCTTCAAGGTACTCTAACTCCTCCTGTCCTGGCAGAAACACAGGGTTAAAGACACACTCCAGCTATTTTTTTTTACTTTTCCTGTTGAAAACAATATCCCAAGTATAATACAGTAATGTACACACACTTTCAGCAAAATAGTTTTTTAGACACAACTGCAAACTTCAAGGAATAGGGCATTCAAGGAGTTGGTCTGATGTGATGTCATTGGCCTCCCCCCTTGCTTGAGGGACAATAGAGGAGCAGTAGAGAACAAAAGAGGAAAGGCCCACCCCCCACTTGTGCCATGACATGTCATACCTGGACCACCTATTGAGATGTGCCTTTTGTTAAGTAAATCAGGTGTTAAATGAGGTGAAAAGGAGACTGGAGTAGGACTTTAAATGACTGTAACACGTGTCAAACCTGAGTTCTGCATGTCATGCCTTTTAAAAGCTATCAATACATGTTGGACTATAAATTGAACAGTCATGGTTTACCTCTTGCCTTGAAATGTTAATTTCAACA